GGTCATAAGGAGGGTTTTCATCTTTGATGATTTGTCTTTTGTTTTCCTCCAATGTTCTTCGTAATAGAAAGTTGTTGGGAACTGATTTCCTTGACGAGCAATAGGAATCAGTGGCCTTATAAATAGTATGAGAAATGTTATGCTGAATGAAGTGTTTCACGCATTTCGTTCTCGTAGCATAACCGGAGCAACTATATACAGTTTTCTTTGCACTTTTGTGCCTCACCGTCTGCTTAACACTGCAAAAATTCGATATGGAATATTGTTCATATCACCAAGATATTTCTAAGGATTCCAGTCTAATTAAAATGCGGCTATTACTTCGATGACTCTATGGGACATCTTGACTCGTACCTGAGTGCTGACTGAAATTGATCACCCCTCAGCGATTGATGGACTTCGTCAACATTCAGAGGAATAATGGCTTTCTTCTAAGCTTTTAATAATGTAGATAGATAAGTGGTCTTTTGCAATTTGACAACACTTTCACTTATATCCTGTAATGGCTAATGTGTCAGTTTGCTTTGCAGTTATCCTTCTGAGCACTTGTGCTCATGGTTTTACTACTACTCGGACGAAAATATGGTATGCCTTCTAGATGGGGAGGCCAGATATCTGCAACCCCTATTGGATCACAAGCAGAAAGCATCTCTCACACCACTGCATTAACTGGATATAAGGACGTAGTTGAATGATGTTTGGCTGCAAATAAGTATTTCACTTCGTTCACTGTTCTATATGTTTCACTTCCCTTAATTCATGCTACATTATTCTGCTTTCTCTTTTTTGTCTCCCGTTTTTTCAGCTTCCTTATCCACCAGATAGGTAATTATACCGATTCACCTTGTTTTCCATGGAACTGACTTGCTAATGTCACGTTCTGGCTGGAAATTTAAGTGGTCGATACTTGACTGTTCATAAACCACTTTAACCTACTCAGCAACTAGTGTATTATTCTGTGGGTGTTTTGCTTTCACGTGCGTTTTTGTTTGTATTATTGTTGCCACATGTAGACCGTTATGAAGTTTACGTAATGTGCATGTATCTGGTATCAGCCTGAATTAGAACAGGGAATGAAATGTCGTATAATCTATGTTTCAGGAATAAATATAATATACTATACACTATATTAACTGATTCCCGAGGACTTAATTACATTTTAGGGGATCAGAGAAGTTCTTCAAGCTAATCGAACCTTCAACAAGCTCTTTGTTTACCTGCACGAACTGAAACACGGGCCGGAAAATTGGATTCTCAAGGGACAGATGCTTGCTAGATCAGCTGTAGCGCAATGGTGTATCTCAACGTTTTCTTCAACCCATCATCAATAAATACACCTTTAAGCAGCTATAAGTGGTTTATTCTCTCAGACAACGGGTAATGTTACTAGAGCTCCGGCCCAGCAGGATAGATGGCCACACACCAACAGTGAGCTTTATTTATGGTTAAAGCCAACTGGAAGCGAGCTCGAATTCCATCAAGCAGCTGAGCCAACTGATCTCCTATAACACCCCCCAAACTCGATTTTATTACATCGATGTTTTCTTTGACATCCCATGTGGCCATATTCGAATGCAGCACTGAAGTTAAAGAGTATCGCGTAGCTGAGTTTTCACTTCAGTATGAGAACTCTTGTTTTAGAAAACGTTTTACAACAAAGATAATGCTGACGTATACGTAGTTCGAAAGTTGAGTGGCCTGTGGAAAGTGGTGGCTACGAGTAAGCAAGATGGTATTGATAATACTACTTTAAACACTGTTAACTCTCGACTACTTAGCTCACATAAGTTGACTCCTTCTGAATTCTAACGTAAGTGTCTAACCTTAGACGAGGTTGACCGTTGGAAGCAACACAGTGCCGGATGTTTCTCTTATATTTAGGAGTCGTACACTTGAAAGACGCCTTACCATCTTGGTTTGTGACAATGTTTTCGATTTATTCCTGGCCTATTACATCTTAAGTCACCCAACTTATTCTTCGTATTACCTAGATGACGTAAAACATTCACTGATTAAATTCATGGAGAACTCTGGGTAGCTATTTGGGGAGGAAAAATTGGAGTACACCGTCCATGGCTTACTGTATGCATGTGAGGACGCACGACAGCACAGACCACTAGACACTTTCTCGTGCTTCCCATATCAGTCTGACGTACGTTTCCTGCAAAGTCTAGTCACAGGTCCCAATAACCCAGCAGTCCAAATAAGTGGACGTCTAGGAGAAAGATGCATAGTGGAAGCTGACTCTGCCAAAACAGAGGTTACAACTAGTGCATTTCTCAATGTGTCTAAACAGACTGCTACTTCTTCTAGTCTTAAAATAAAGTCATCTCCTCCCGAAAATTCCTTTTTGGTGGGCGACACACTAGGAGTTATTTCTGAAATCATGAACGAATATTGGTTCAGATTTCGTGCCTATAAAAAGCCCAAGGCTTTTACAGAAAACCATTGGATTCCAGGGCCATTGGAATATATCAGGTAGACAACTTAGAGGGTGAGACAAGTATTCACGCCCTCGGTGAAATTCGGACGAAGTGCATTAATAAACAATAATAAATTATATTTCGTATAAACGGGTAAGTTTACCAGAAATGCATGCCATTTTTACAGGCACGATCATTTATGTATCATAAATAAATACTTTTCAAAAGTTTAAATTGTTCAATTATCGTACAAGCAATCATAACAGGTTCTCATAAATGTTAAATTGTAAACCGTTTACTAGGGGCACCATCGAAGTTGAGCGACAGCCCAAACGTCGTTCCGTCTCCTGCTGATAGTTATGGTCAACCAGTGAACAGCGTATATTTGGGTGAATGCTATGCCAACACGTGATTAGAAGCTATTTGGGGAAGAGAACGTCCTGGAAAGATGAAAAATGGTATAAAGTGCAATTATGCATAATACATCATTGAAAGTACATTTACAAGATGCATACAAGAAGGAGGTGGAGACTCCTTGGAATAGTAGTATACACTCTCAATGTATGCAGATGGCTTACAAATCTGGAGAGAGGTCAAGGGCAACGTTGTAAGGACTCACGTTGTAAAAGGACCTCAACAAATTGTCAGAGTGGTCCATAGAATGGATGCTCCCGATAAATGTGGCAAAATGTGCAACCATGCGCATTGGACAAGCAAGCACCAGCTCCTACAAGCTAGGGGGAATAACACTTCCATCAGTTCAGACTCACTTGGACTTAGGTGTCATAGTCAACAACGACTCAAAAACTACAGCACAATGTCGCGCGGTGGCTGCGCATAGTTTCAGATCCTTATGGGTAATTCGAAGAGCCTCTGCTAGAATCACCGGAGATATGTTCACCTCCTTATAAACATCTCTGGTGAAGTCAAGACTGGAAAACTGTATCCAGGCAACCAGTCCTTGTCTAAAAGGGGACTAACACATTCTAGAAAGGGTTCAAAGGAAGGCAACACGTATGGTTCTCGGCATGACTAACTTATCATACGACGAAAGACTAGACAGTTTAAATCTCTTCTCCCTGTCATACCGTAGGCAGAGAGGAGATTTAATAACAATTTTTAAAATTTTAAATAATGACTACGGACCTGACCTATTCTCTCTTTTCCTCCCCACCAGGTCGGAACACCTTAGAGGACATAACAGGAGAGTTCAAAATCCAAGAAGAAATCATATTGCTGTGGGGTATTGGTTCTCACACCGAGTCATATACTCTTGGAACCGACTCCCAGAAGAATTGGTGTCTGCGACCTAAACCAATTCGTTCAAGGAGGGTTTGGACAAGCACAGAAATTTACTAGAAAAGGATTAACATAGGCTTCAAGCCTTCTATCCTCAACCTGTTGCGTGCTCTATTTGACTAAATTAGCGTACACGTATTTCCCAGCACTTCTTCACGTTTATCAATGTGCGTAGACGTTGTGGCTACTCGACGCCCACAACGTAAAACCAGAAGGCACTTGTGAAGAGTGTAATCGTGTATTATAGCAGTAGTCAAATTTCAAAATTGTGTCAGAGTAATGTTCAACAGTAAATTGACAAATGTTTACGAAGTACATATAAAATCGGTCTGTGTAAACATAATATAAGTATGCAAATTAGATTAAAAAGTGTATGTTTATAGTTGGTGTAGAGGTACTACAAACCAATAAATCTGAAATCTGAATCTGAAATCTTTGAGGTCTAGGTCATGGAGTGCTGAAGGCCATGCATGTTTTGCTTTAGCGGTAACTTCATGGAGTTCCGACCGTTTGTTGTTTGAGTATAGGTAACCGTGAAATCTAAGGGTAAAACTATTCTCTCATCATGCAAAAGTGACAGTTATAAAACCTTTTGGAAAACACTACTCCTTTATTACATAAGGATGAAGCATTTAAATCTCTTCCCGTTATCATACCGAAGGAAGAGGCGACTTAATTTTAGCATACCGTGTACTTAAGGATTACTTAGAAACTGACCTTTTTCACCTTTTATCCCCTTCTAGGATAAATTTACGGGGTTACCGTAAAAGGCTGCTCAAACCGAGGACGATTAAAATACGTGCGGAATTTAGATTCTCGAGAACTCTCACAGAGTGGTCAACGACTGGAACTCCTTACTCAATTCAGTAGTATCGGCTCCATCGGTGAACGCTTTCAGAGAGAGAAGTTAGGTCTCTGCAGAGATATATTTCGCAAGAATTAATACAGGCCACAAGAGCCTACTTATCTTAATCTAGGAATTCATACACTGATTCGAATATCTAGCTAGTGCCGTCGCTCACGGGCTAGTATTTTCTTATTGGTTGCGTGTCACTCTCTTCTCAACATTATGTAACGCTTCTAGATGACCAGTGGGTTCGGTCACAGATCACTTTGCTTTGCAGGCAGTTATGTACTACATACGCTAAATAGCCATATCAGTTAATAACAATGGAACACTTCTAGTGTATCCGTGTGTTTTGGGGAAATTGAGGGGTCAGCTTACACGTCTAAGGATCCTTATACGTGCAGAGTACACTGATGACTCAACTAATTTGGTTGTTGTGCACATAAGGTAAGTGAATCCTCATTCACACTGTCAGCAGCTGAGAACAACAACTAGTGGTTGGAATATATTTCACCATGGACGGATTAGTACATATTCACTGATATTCATCGCAGAATGAATATTGAACTCATACTTATAACTCACATAACCTCAGGGCAGTCACTGTGTGAGGTTTACATGAAAGCATTAGCTTGCAACTCTGTTGGAATTACGACCATACCCAAAATGAAGACTTACTAGTCGTCATGTAGAAATATTCCAAAAGAAATAGGCAGACTATGTTGAGTTAGGCGTAAACTGCCTTATCTATCCTACGAGGTCTATTTAAAGAGACTGGATAACTTTGCAGTTATCTTGCTTTGGGGCAGAGAATGAATTAGTACCTATAGTATTTTTAAAAAGGAGACTTTGATCACTGTTGTCTCCCATAAGGCCTGCTATTTCCAAATCATCCGTAAGCTTGCAATACATGTTAAATTCAAGGCATCTTTTCCCATTGTGCAGATAATTATCAGGATTCATTAATCAAGAAAGTTGAATTTCTGATTACCATTTTCATAATACAAACAACTACGAATGCACTCTTGGACTGAATGATTGTGTGTAGTGATAGGAGAAAAAACAACTTACTTATTATTTCCCATTTCCCTCCTTCTAAATACCAAAATGACTGCATATCAGCCTCAAACTCATATGGTAAGCAGGAACCATCTCTAGAAATCACACTTGAATATTACATAATTGTGATTTCTGGAAGTAATATTAAACTTCGCTTTTAGATGACTATAGAGTTCATGACCGGTAGCTATTACCTTGAAGTGGTAGTCGTGCTTGCATATTCAAATGATCTAACGAGCTACGTTGGCTGAAACAATCTTTCCTCCAGGTTCTACCCTACCAGGAAGTTCGTTTGGATGGCTATTAGAGTAAAAGCAGGTACTATCATAGTGTAAGTCGCTCACACTCTGTTGGCAGTATGCGGGAAAAATCGTACTGCTGGCGAGTAGGAGTGTAACGTAAGCAATCTGTTTCCCGTGGACGAGCAGCAAGCCAGGCATGCTGCCTCTTCACTCTGAAAAGATAGGGTTAGAATAGTCCGACTCTGGAAATTGTACTTCCTGACTCATTTCGGGTCAGTCCGTAGCCAGTGCTCAGATTTCCAAACAGACACAACTTCGAAAATCTCTTCAAAGAGGCCATGTTTAGTCCGTCTCTGCGGCTCCGTGGTCATGTAACACTTATGTTCTAGATATCCCAAGACCTTAAATCTGACCCTACTTGCGCGAATGTCTGATTAACAAATATTGTTTTTTGAATTAGTGTTTCGGTACGTCTTTGTACCGGTGAACAAAGCAGCCTGGATGAAAGTGAGGGTATAGACTTGCTGGTAAGCTAAGTAAGAAATAGTAGTGAGAAAGTAAAGGAGAAACTTGAGCATAGTCTCGAATGATATGCGTGCTAGTGGTATTTGGGATTTACACTTGCTTCCCATTATTGTGATAATGTGAAGGGCAAACCTACTCAAATTGTTTCTTTCTTTTCGCATCTGAGGATATCAAACATTTATTTTTTAATTTTCAGAATAATCACTAAACATTGTCATAGTGATTTCTTACTGGTGCTGTAGATTATGTATTCATATTCAGGTAAATATTATTCTGCTAGCTATTACTCATTTACTAGATAATGAAGAAAGTGAAGGCCGAACTCCCCTACTTTCTGATGAATCATGTACAATGCAGCTAGTTCCAGCACATTCTAGTCATCGAATTCGCAATTCCTCACATGTAAATGATTTCGAGGAAACAGTCAGCGTCGATACAACTGGGGTAAGACTCAGTTCAATGTTATAATTGACTAACTCTAACCCGAAATGTAAAAGTATTCAGTTTTATATCCTAGTTTCCAAACTGTAACCTGTATTTCTAAAATAAATTGTTTAAAGAAATTAGGTCTCTTTGACCTGTCACAGCAAGTACTTAGTCTTGATATTTTCGTTTTAAAGATAACTGAAGCATGGAGAGTAATTGAATGAATCTTGATTTAGACAGTAGTGCTTTTTTATACATTTTGTCTTCTGTCTGTAAATAGCTTTACCTAAATCAAAAGTATCTCTCAATCAGTGGCGATTATTAGTGTTTTGAAGTGAGTATAGCACCGGTTTAATTAATAATGGAAGTTGACTGTCATAGGTCAGAAGCAATAGTAATAAACATCAGTTAACCAGCACAGATTCCGCCTGGCCGCAATAGACTAATTGTTGTCTGTATGACCTAATTTATCAAATGAATGTCTAGTGTCGTCTATACTGTGAATATCTCGCAGTGACCTGTGTTTATGCTTTGTCTTCATCTAAGTTGTGATGTCACATATCTGTATTCCCTTCATGTCTTCATTTCCTTTTCGACTTTCTGTGATTTCATATATTTTCATTTGTGTTTGTTTGCTGTTGTTACTTACGTAAGTGTTTGGTGACATTATAAGCTAATGTAAGATAATGCTGTATGACTTGACTACACCAACTCTTAGCTTAAAGATAGAGGGAAAAGTGGTAAAGCCTGTTGACCACTTCACTCATTTGGAAAGTTGCATCATCCCTGATGAAGTGATTGCTGACGAATTGTCAGCACAGATGTGACATTTGCTAACGTAAATCATCTCTGGATTAGACTATCCATCAAAGGAAGTGCATTACTAAGCAGTTTGCTCCGTCCTCCTTTGGGTCTGTGAGACGTGGCCATTGAAAGTTGAAGATATGAAAGTGCTAGTTGCCTTTGACCACCTTTGACCACAGATGTTTGCATTCATTCTCGCGTGTTAAATGGTATAGTATGATGAATAATATCGAGTGTAAGCGTGGTGTTGAGTAGGGAGGGTAAGTCAATGGATGAGATTGCGAAACTGCATGGATTGAGATGACTCAGACGTTTGCTGTGTATCCCAACGGGCGATGTTAGCTGAAATATGGTGGGGTTGGAGAATCAGAAGTGATCAAACCTGGAGTAGTCACTCCGCAAAGTCTTTAACAGTTGGTTTGAGCCACGTAGACAGATGTTAACCGCCTGATAGGAATCATCGGGATTTTAAAATTCGATGGTTGGAGACTACTGTTTTTACGGCTCAGGATAATTCTGAATAATGCAGATGTATCAACTTTTTGTGGTCTCTCATATCCATTAAATCCTCGTGTTTTCCCACGTTACTATACTTTCTAACTTACATTTCTGCTCATTATAGTTTCCTTGAATTTCTTTTCTCTACCTCTATGGGCTACATGAGATGTAACAAATTGAACTGGTACACAGAAGTGCATCACGATTTTGAGCCATATCACCAATTGTCTCCAGCCTTCATTCGTTTTTATCGTCCCGACGACCCCAACCAGGAAGTTGACACCTCCTTATGTGACTCAAACCAATAGTCAACATGTTCATAGGCTGATGTCGTATTTGATTAGATCACTCCTAACTGTTTTTTTAAAGAGGTCCTATGTCAGATAACATTGCCATTCGAGGGAGGCGGTGGCTTTGCATGTGTAACATTTGTGCTAGGCATCTTAACATGCTTCTGTGTCATCTGGGAGGTTATCATGGAGAAATTCCGGTTATCAGTGTAGTTTTGTATTAAATATTAGCTGTTAGCATCTTAATTCATATGTAGTATTAATGTATAAGGTAAAGTCTTTTAGACAACACGCATGAAGGTATGAAGGATAAACATATGCTAACAAATTTTACTAACTTAACTGTTGGATAGTATGGTGTCAACTTGTATTTTTTCCGTATTCATAATCCTTATTGCAAGGTAAACATGATCAAGCAAAATATCATAATAACGTAATTTGAAATTACTAGAGTAACTCACATCAGTACTCTGAAATAGCCACCGACACACCAACACGTAGCACATTCCCCGGTTACACACTATAATCGTTTCTTGAAAAGAAGTTTAACTGAATATCGCTGCATTCCCAACTATAAGACCAGGTTAGTTGAAACTCGGAAATAGTATCTACAAGAGAAAGATTTTGAAAGAGATTTCCAGCTTAAATGTTGTTTTTTGTCTTTAGAAATGGGAGCAAAACCAGCCCTCTACCATAATTACATCCTCCAACATACTTTTACCTTCCATGTATTGCATAAATTGTGGTATGTATTACAACAAAAACTGAATAGCAGTAAAGGAACTTATATATAACACGCAATCAGATACTTGCATTGAATATATCACAGATGTACACCCACATTCTCATTTCTGTATGAACAATAGGATGTCGTCGTAGGCTCTTGGAGGATATGTAACGCTCAACCCGGTGTACAAAAGCCTGTACTGCGGAACTAAGTTATGTAAGCGTTTTGAATTCTCGACAGCAGTGACATTAAAATATTCATTTCGAAATTAGTAATACTTACGGAATAATTTATTATTATTACTATTATTGTTCCCTTGGGCCCGAATGAAAGGTAAGGCTTCAATAGCACATCACTTCACTGTATTCCCTGCAGTCTTGTCTAACTGACTGCACGATTCCCCTTAAGCCTTCAATTCCTGTTCACATAATCTCCTCCATGTCAACTTCGGACCCACGCCCAACTTGTCGTTTCTCATTTGGGTTCCACTGGAAGATTTGTTTGTTGTGTTATGCCACTCAACAGCCTCCTTGGTGTGTTTGTGTTCAATCCACCTCCATTTCCTTCCGCGTATTTATTTGGGTGATGGGTTCTTGGTTGGTTGGTTCGTTGCAATGCAGAGTCCCTTGTTGCTCATCCTTTCCTTCCGACCATCTGATCTTCAGTTCTAGAGACAGAAAATGCAGTTGTTGTTGTTGACAGTCTGCATCAGTCTGTTGGCAATGTTTCCAGTGACGTTTGCGCCAGGTCTGCGAAATATATAGGAGCACTGATTTAACATTAGTGTTGTTACGGAGTATAGTTACCTTTGAATGAAAAATGAAAATAATGACAATAATAAGTAATATTAATGAATTTAATAATGGTAACCTGTGTGGTTGTGTTTCAATTCAAAAGTAGGTCAAACTCACAGATTACACTGAGTCATCATCCACACGATTATAGGGTCAAAGTGAAGATTTAGTTAAGTTGGTGACATAGTTCAAAGATTTATTCTAATATCGTTAAACGTTGATAGATCATATACGTGATGTCTTCGCAAATAAGTTAAGTGTGAAAATATTATGAAAAGAAGTGTTCTACTAAACGTTTTACGATGAATAGTAGTAGTAGTAGAAGTAGTAGTCAAGTGCTTTCACGTGGAGTAGATTCCATATGCATTTTAGCAATTATGTCCGTGTGTTTATACAAGGCCATGAGCAACAGATTGTATTAGGATTTGTGGTGCTAGAAAAATGGTCATAAATGGTTTAGCAAAGCCGAGTTCGAACCTCTTAGACCTTTGGTTCAAAATCGAATACCTCAACTAATGTCTTCACTGACAATGATATAATAATGAATAATGAGCATAAAATCTTTTGTTTTACTGTATAGTCAATATAGGTGAAGTGAATTGAATAGTGTAAAATGACATCACAAACAGGTGCTTTGCATGCCTGTAACTAGTTAGCTGTTCAATTATATTTATATGAAGACATTATAATATAAACGACTTCCATCATTAGTAAATTGTTGTAAAGCAGCTTAGTTGTTATTATATTATTATTCATTCCGGGTGGAATGTAGGACTTCAGTTGCACAAGCCTGTTGCACTGGCTTTCTGTCATTACTTTAAACTGGCGTGACGACCACCACCTACAAGCTTTTATCTTCTACTCCCATTATCTTCTCCATGTCACATTCAACCTCCCAACCCGCTGCTTCATTTGGTTTTCACTCAAGGGTGTGTCTGGTGTTTGATGTCATTTGCAGGTGTATTTCCGATAGGACTTAAATCGATTCACTCCCGAAGTTCCTTGTTGTTTAATCCCTCTATGCATCTGATCTTCAATATCTAAGTAACGTCGATATTGATGAAAGTTTGCAGCAATCTGTTGGGGGTATGATTTCCATGATGCATCATATGTATGAAGTATATAGAGGCCATTGACATTAGTGTTGAGAATTTGGAAATCGTTTGTTATACTATTCTGTTGATCTTCACATTGATTTAAGACTACTGAACAGTTGTCTTGCTTTCTTGATTCTGGATATGGTATCCTCATATATACCGTCTATAGTTAAAATAATGCTACCCAGTGGAAGAGATGGCTTCCCTTAAGTTTCCCTCATTGATAGTGATTTCTGTTCATTTCATTGGTTGGGTGTCATCACCCCTGTCCTCTCTACTCAGCCTCGTCTGCCAACTTCTTGGTTTTCACTTGTATATCTTCGAATGTGTCTTGAGACATAGTTCATCTGCGTAATCAACATCTCCCTGTTTCTTTTTCCAAGCCCGTTTTATCACTCTTCAGGGTATGCTGCATGTTCCTGTTCATCACAATCAGAAATATTGATCATAATAGGTAGTCTTGTTTCATTTCTGTCTTGACTTCAAAGGCTTTGGAGAGCCTTCCGTTCTAAACTGCTTAACATGCGACATCATATCTCTGCTGAATGGAGTTTATAAATATCTGTGGTACTACATTCCTAAGTGTTGAAGCAGTTTTCAAGTTACTTCTCGGTCGATGGTGTCTAAGGTCTTTTCAGAGTTGAGGTAGAGAGTTGAAATATATTCCAGGCTCTGTTCGATTATGATGCGTAGTGTTGAAACTTCACCCGAGCATTATTTCTTTTCCCTGAATCCAGCCTGTTCAGGGCAAAGATCTTCGTCCAGGGCACCTTTCAGTCTTTGCACGGTGAAGTGGTCTAATATGTTTCTTGGAATGGACAGAAACATAGTCCAGCGCTATAAGCTTGAGTTGCCCTCTTTTGGCAGCTCGACAAGGAAGCTTCTCTGCCAGTTGGCAGGTACCTATCGTTCTATCGACACCTGCAATAATGGAGTGAGCATGTCTGTGAGTCAGTTTTCAACGTTTTTGGGGAAATTCCATCTAGTCATGCTGCTTACCCGACTTTTAGTAACTTTTGGCCCTCATAACTTCTGCTTTTTTCAGAGAGTGGATGTTCTATGTCTGCTGCTGGTGATCGTATTTCTAGACGAGATGTAGGGAGTAGTCGATTCAGGAGTTCATTGAGGTGATCAGTGCAATGCCTTTAACCATAGATGTTTGCGTCTTATGTTCCATGTTAAGTGGTATTATATGGTGAGTAATACTGAGATTTGGCGTAGTTCTGGGTAAAACCAATCGATAAAGTTGTGAAGCTGCATCTACTGAAGTGTTAATGGCACTTGTCACATACGCAAACTATAACTTAATGGAACTTGATCTTTCCGGTTTTCATTAAAATACTTTCACAAATGAGCATGTTTTGAAACTGTTTCAAATATTTGATACATGCAATTATGTCAAGTGTTAGTTTGCAGGGATTTCACTGGTTACCGGATTGCTCACGAGCTGACTTCAGTCAGAGGAACATTAGAAAATCAGGGAGTACTGGAACCTATATCATCCCAGTTTGAAACTCTTCATCGGCGCACACCCTTCGGAGTTCGATATCAGGACCTTCGGGTTACGAGTTGTGCTGGTAGACCATTCAGGAACCGGTACCCGATGCAGTGGTCCACGCATTCCAAATCCTGCCATTTCATGATATATTTTACGCAACCTCCAGCCAGTATCACAGACGAGTTACTGTCTTCTTGCCTGACTAGGTGGACGCCATTGGTTACGACTTCTCACTAGAACCCCAGGCAACTTCCTGTATACCAAGCCAGTCGCTAGTGAGTACCTGATAAATAATTACCAAGTGTTGGTGTGTAAGGATATGATTGGTTACACGACTGATCAGTGTCTGACATCAGTTAGAGAACTGTGTAGGTTGAGGGACACTTATAACTCAATTAAACGAAATAATTTAATCTACAAAATACCTTACAATGACTGTGAGGCCAACTACATAGGTCAAACCAGTGGATCGGAGGTAGTCAGATCATCAAAACATAAGAATTCAGCTAAATGTAGAATGATTGACCTCGTGAAGATAGGTAATTTAGAAAAAAAAACAGCAAATGCAGTGCATGCATCAACGTACAACCACACAATAGGGCGGGGCAGAGTTACGGTTCTAAAATCGATATAGATCGACAAAGAGAGAGGTTGATTATTGAATCTTTGTTCATAGAATCTACACCCAACACATACAACAGGAATGATTCATCACTAATATCAGGCATATGGAAAATATTACTACGAATCAAATCAAGAGATGAAAAATAATGGAATCATATGAACGAAGTCCGACAGTTGTGTAACTTGATATGATTATGAGCAACAAATTGTGCTCGTAGCGTGGTCATCAGTGAATAATACTATATAACACTGTGAGACCTTGGAAATAATTTTACTACATGGTGAAATTATAATCTACCACAGTGCCCAAGTTACACGCTTATTTCAGAGAACTGTTGAAAAACTAGTGAATACTGATGAAATGTTTCGACCCGGCTTGGGGCTTTTCGGCAGTATGCACCTACCGGAGCTCGAAACCACGACATTTGGATTGCAAGGCGAGCTCATAGATCATTCAACCACTGGGATACATGTTTCAGTTAATCTTCGTCCTTTTTTTACGCCGTATAAAACGGCTTTAATCTGATTCGTCTGTTTGTGTGACTAATTTTTCACAGTTAATTATCTCTGTCCTCGAATATTTTTCACATACAAATTCTCACTAAATTAATGAGTCATGTTTCACTTAATCAACCTGAGTGTTGTATACTATGCAACTACTGACACGATACTTATAATAGAAATGTGCGCAATTGACGACGTGAGGCATATAGCGAGGCTGTTTAAGTACTTTAGAACAAATGTCAACGAAAGCACATGTTGCTAGGCTACTCAAACACAGGATTGTTAGTAAACTACTATTTGAACACGTTCTTGATGTATTTGATTAACCTAGAACCATGTTTTGAACCACGAGTCCGAAATTCTAGTTCATTTATGAACTCAAGTGTTTAAAATAACTCAGGAATATGTCCTATACTGTTACTCCACCTTTCATGGAAGAATGGTATAGAAAAGAAATAAACAACTTTAATTGTAGAAAGCTCTACACTCTCATTAACATCTTATCATATATGAATTACAAATTGTTTAACAGCAGTTAAAGTATGAATAAGGTAGCTTAAAGGTGCAAACATTTAATTATATATATTTTCACGAGTTGATCACGGATTGATATCAGTTAGAAAACCAGGGAGTACTGGACAGTTGTTTCATCCTAGTTTTTGGAATCATCGTCACTACGCACCCTGGTTCTCAATGATTCTCTAACTGATATCAATCCGTGATCAACTTGTAAAAACATAACCAATCCTTACAAACGAAACTATAGAAAATTAATCTGATGCTCGCTAGTGACTTGCTACTGGATGGAGTTTGCTGGAGTTCTAGTGAGAATTCGTGACCAGTGAGGTCCAATTAGATGTCACGTGTGAGGATGGATGTCTCACCGACGATATTAGTTGGGGTCGTGCTAAAATTACGAATTGGTAGAAGTTAGAATTCATAGGCTGGCTAGCCATTGAATCGGGTCCCAGTGGCTGAATGGGGTATACGAGCCAGCTTGCCTTGTAACCGGAAGGTCCAGGGTTCGAACTGCTTCTGGTGGGTGCGTACTGCCGATGATTCCCAAAACTAGGATGAAACAGCTGTCCAGTACTCCCTGCTGGCTTTCAGTGGTTCTCTAACTGATATCAATCCGTGATCAACTCGTAAAAACATAACTAACCCTTACAAACCAAACTATAGAAAATTATATATATATATTTATATATATATATATATGCTAATTGTCAGTTTTTGCTGACGAGGCATACCACCAAACTAATAGCTGTACTTATTACTTTATAATTCTGTCATGGTAAGAAAAAAAATTGTTGCAGTAAATCGTTTGTGCTAGTTATGCAACTAAATCCTCCGAAAAAAAATATCATGTGCAATCTTTAAACTGTTTATTCTTTCTGCCTGAGTCATACCAGCTGATAATGCCGTCATCGTGTAAACATAGTGTTTTTTCTTAACAACATTTGACCTCAACACTCATTTGTATTCATTAATATTTTGTCCTTAATCAAACAGCCGTGGGCAGAATTTAGAATATTGGTCGAACAATTCTCTAAAACTCTGCCTGTGATTGGTTCGATTTGAGTTCATTATTCTTTTTGGTTATCGATAGCCAATCACACATTATGTACAGTACTACGAAGCATGTTTATTGTAAACTTGTACGAATGTATGTATATATATATGGTGTCGTGAATAGTGTAATTACTGTAATTTTTCATGTGTCAGCGTCAGTCTTGCACCTTGAATTGTTCTTCACTTTAATTTGGATTTCCTCAATTGAATTGAGTTGAGAGAAAGCTGGTGCAATTCACTGCTATTCAAAAAAATATATAAATAAATAAATTACTGCTGACATATTGAAGTGATCCATTGTTAATTATCAACGGATTGGTTGATTTCCTCATACTGCTGACTCAATATCTATAATAGCAATAATAATAATGGTAAATGAAGTGTTTTATTTCTCGCATTCCCTTTTCCATCTTTTATATTATTTAGCCTTTGTTTTCATGTACACACGTATGTTTGTGGTTGACATTTTTTGTTGTTGTATATTTCACTTTCATTTTATCCTTTGTGTTTGAAGGAAAAATCTGGATTCAGTTTTCGACGATTATGGGCTTTCACAGGTCCTGGTTTTCTTATGAGTATTGCTTATTTGGATCCTGGGAATATAGAATCAGATTTACAAAGTGGAGCCATTGCCAATTATAGGGTGAGTTTTTTTAATTATTCCTTTTCTTCTTTTTTTTTCTTATCGTATTACAAAAGTTAACTATTGAAAGAGGGTTGTTTTATATAAACTAGAAAATAAACAATCGAGATTAAGTGTCCTTGATGACTTTAACTTTTCTAAGATGTATAGTGTAGCTGCTTAGTTTTTATTATTGTTAGTATTGTTATTATTATAATTTTGACGCGCGGGTTCGAATCTCAGAAGGGACATCAGTTCCTTCAAGGTTGTAGATACGCCTTGCTGATGAGTGCCAACTAGCACGAAACCTAGGTCCAAGGCTTCTTGCCGATTGCCTCCAACCATCTAATACCAACAATTCACAGTGCACCGTAATGGCGAGCCACCTAGCATTGCATGAGCCACATTGCAAACATGACTGATAGAATTCAGTCTGCATCGAAGATAGGACTAGACACATTACACTAGTTACTGACTAGTGTGCAATCAGAAATAATTTTTTTCCCTTGCGTCCCGAGTGAAACATGATGCCTCAGAATTGAGCTTTAAATTGGCAGTAGCAGTGGTGTTTAATCTTTTAAGGGGTGGGACTGCTGGTCTCGCCCAACTTTCTCTCTTTGCTGGGCTTGCTACTGGCTTATTGAGGTTTAGGAGTGAGTCAGCCGGGGATCTAACTCCGAGTATTCTATTGCTAAACCAGTGACCCACAACTGCTTAATTATCCTTGTTTATAGGGAATAAAAAGACAGTTGCAGCGAAGAAAATTTTCTTTTCGACGAAGTCATCATCTAGACTGTACATTCGTGTATTTATATCCTTGTTTAAATTTAATTAAAGTATACTTTCCTCTTATGAGATTAAATACTACACCAATGTGGGTGAATGTTAACCAACAATCAGTTGCATTCACATGCGTTTGGCCAATGAGCAAGCCATACCTAATATGTTGTGGCATACTGATACCACCTGGTTACCGAAACTTTGGTAGATGGAGTGGGATTCGAACCCATGGCAAAATCGATGGTAGTCAACCTCTTAAATTAATGATTCACAACTTTACCTCTGCAGTTATTAGTGCTTATGTTTTTCTATATTATACGTGAAAACTTTAACTGCATTGATGTTTGATGATTGAAGGTAGTCGTCCGGAATCTAGGCTTCATGGTAGTGAGCACTTATCAGTCAGTAAGACATACCTGTAATCTTAAAGGAACTCATATCCTCTCTGGGACTCCTATTGGCATCGCCCAGTGCTTCAGTCAGAGATGTTACCACGGAACTATTCGGATTCACGACTGCCCGTCTATAGGACTATAACGCCTACTTTGATTGCTCACTAGGTAATGTGTCTATTTCTTGGCTTTAAAGATTAAAAGTTTTACACCTTCACATAAAGTAGGAGTGTTTGAAATATTGTGCAATTTATTGTGTTGTATAATGGATGCTTTGTCTTGCTACATAGGTCATTTAATCTGCATATGTTCTATATGAAAAAGTTGACTGTTTTTGATCATAGATGTCTACGATCGCTTTCTCACGTTAGGTGGCATAATAAGGTAAGTAATGTTGACGTTAGGCGTAGAGTGTTGGGCAAAGAGGGGAAATCAATCGACGAGAAGAGGCTATAAAGTTACATAGATTGAGATGGCTAGGTCACGTGCTGCGCATGCCTAACCATCGTCTCCCCCGACGGGCGGGCATTACTAGCTGATATAGGTGCAGGTTGGAAAAAAGTAAGTGGTAGCCAAACAAAAACATGGCATCAATCAATCCATGAAATCCTTGACAGTCAAACTGAGTCAGGTAGGGAGATGCAGACTTCCGGGTTGGGGCTCTCGGGACTCTAAGAATCAATGGCTGGAGACAATAGGTGACATGACTCAAAATCGTTGTCAATGGCTTACGCAGATGTCTTCAGTCTCTGTAATCTTTCATATTCCTTTCTACCATTACTCATTCTGTTTCACTCTTATACTTGTCAAAACCCTATTGATTCTCTTCACTCATTTCTTTGTCTACCTTTGTGTGCTATTTGAAACGTGGCAACTGGAACTGCTGCACTTCGGTGCCAAGTTCTATGTTGAATCCAGACAGATAGGTTCTATATCAAGTTTATTCGTGTACAAGAAGCTAAATTACTAAGATATCTGTGCCTTCTAACTATAAACATGATTAAATAGAAGTTGTATTAATTAGACACGTCGGTCAATAATCCATGCTGTGAAATCCAGGACAAGCGTTTCGTCCTGTTTGGAATCCACCAGCCGAATGTACCTGCATCTCAGTGGAATTTCAACATTATCCACTAGGCCTAGTGGATAATGTTTTGGTGTGTATTCTTGATTCTACTGCTAGTCAGTAATCAACCAAATAACTATGTTAAAAATTCAGAGTCATATGAATACCCTAAGCAAAACTAAATTATCTGTGGCATGTGATTAAGCCTTGTCACATGTAAGATGGTACAAAAAAATAAAGAGTGGAGTGGTTTGTTGTGTTGAACACATTAGCCACAAATTGACTAGTCACTCTGATTAATAGTCACTATGGATACTAAAAAATAGTTTGAAATTCTCCAGCACGTATCATCTCTGTCGCAGGCGTTATATCCAGCTATCTATCGATTGGCACGACGGTTCAGTCTGTAATACCTTACATCATTGAAGTATTACCACCACCTTCGTTGATGGGCAGTATTAAGTGAAATGAAAAAACAAACAAACACACTAAATGGCTGGAGGTAGTTGGCAGTAATCTTTAGATCTAAGTTTCCTACTTGTCGGCACTCGTCAGTAAGGCATATCTACAGGATTGAGGGAACTCGTTTCCCCTCTGAGATACGAACCGACATCGCCTAGTGCTGCAATCAGAGATGTTACCACCGAACTATTTAGGCTCGCGACTGATTTCCTATAGGATTGTAATGGATGCTTTGATTGGTCATTAGGCAGTAATCAATGTCATGCGTCTATAACTTGATGTTGGTGCCGACTAAATTCCATCAATCAAGTTTGGAATGTGGTCATCATTATGGTGCACTTGGAATTGATACTGGATGGTTCTTTTTTCATTCGGTGTGTCTCAGTAGCATATTTATCACTTCTGCCCTGTGACACGGCAGCAGGAAGCGCGGTCGTTGTTAATCCGGACCCCGACCGATCCGGTATGATATTTTGTGATTTACTTTGAGTCATAGCATTGGGTTGGGTAACTGCTTTTTGTCTAACCGCTATCCAAACAACCTTTCTGGCATGGTAGGACCTGTAGGAACATAAGTTCCAGCCAGTATAGCTTGTTGGGTCATTGCGGTGTTCAAGCCCGACCAACACGTCAAGGTAGCAGCTTTCGGTCGGGATACTGGATGGTTGGAAGTAATCTGTCATAATAGTTCAAAGCTGTATTAGTTCCTTTTATTGTCTCCAAAATCTTGAATATGTTCACTAATCCTCGTTACCTCGTTAAGCCAGTAATAAGACTGGTAAAGAGGGAAGGTTAAGCTTGAAGCCCTATGTTCGACTGGGAACGTAGCGGAATTTAAAAAAAATCTTCATTTAATTTGTTTCTATGTTTCACACGTATTTATCTTTTAAAATAAGCTTTCAGTTTTTCTTTTGCCTTAATTATATACTTTTGCAAGATGTTTCAACTTAGGCTGATGCACCTCTGTGCAAAATTCTACGTTGACTTTTCAACCAATCAGTGAGATAAGCACAATTTTTAATTACTTAGAACGTGTAACCTTTATGGCTTAGTGCAGTTGACTTAGTCTGTTGATTGAACTTATTTTTATCAGATAATCCTTATGATTAAGTCATTATCACGACTGATAGTTATACTATAAGTCAACCTACAGAGTAGATATGACCGTAAGCTTATTTCTTACACAAAAATAATTTGAACCTGGTCAGTAAAAATATTAGTGTCAAGTTTTATGTAAAGACTTGTTTAGTTTCGCGGTCAGATGTAGTATAGACGTGTTTATTTCTTCAGTCGATAAAAACATGGATATTGATGACTTTTCGAAGTGTATACCAAATGGCTTTATTGATTATGCTTCACCTCTACCATGTTCCACGTCGATGCATCCGTCTCAAGTGTATCAGTATCAAACACACACTGTCGGACCTTCGAGTTACTCACACAATGATATCATTGAACGCAAGCAATTCTATAGAGACAGTGATGATGAAATATGAAGAGCCGCGGCATATCCCCAGCTCGGAGAGCCAGATATGGCTGGCGCAGAGCAAGACAGCGCTCACTAAAGCATTATAAACCCGACCTTTGACAGTCAGGCTAACATTACGACGACGCCAGATGGGGCTCAAGTTGGTGTATCCCACCCTGGCTTTCATGATACGGTCACCATCATCTACTCATGTTTGAATAGTCGGATGGTGGCACCAGTCATCTCACAATAGGTGTGGCTCATTTTCAAGTACACATATAAACACGAATGGCTGCCAAGTAACGTTTATTCTGGGAATTACTTGTAAAAACAAAATATACTTCAATACAGATGATGCCGTATACACATTCGTTAGCTTCATTTCTATTGTATTTCTAGTTTCTTCTTCTTCTTATTGTTCCCTTGGGTTCCTAGTGGAACATAGGGCTTCAACTGCCCTCGCCTAGATTACTAGGTCACTAGTTTTCTAGCCGGTCCCAAGTCCGGATAAAGAGGGAGGGTTGGGGCGTGGTGCTAGCAACTCCACCCCCAAAACTTAACCAAATTGCTACAAAAACTTTAACGCTAGTTTCTTATGATTATCATTAACCCCTTTTGAATAATCGTCTTTATTGTCCTGTTTTTGTGCGGTGGACTATGCTCAGAATTTAATTTTTCTAACAGGTTTCTCAGTAGTATTTGAAACTGATCAGATCCTAATACTCTTTTGTTTACAATATTGATTATCCAGGAATGAATATTTGCAGAATTATGTACAGTTGTGTGTGTGTGTGTGTAAACATGATTAATTCATACTACTACAATATGTGATCAGGGTATTTTGGAGGGGGGGGGATAAATAAATCGAAGATTACGTAACAGACTGGCTAAGCATTTTGGTTATAGATAGTAAAGGAGTATTCTTTTCTTTTTAAATGGACTATTTCAAGTAAATCTGGTTAGCAGGATTGATCTTTATCTTTGAGAATAATAATGGACTGTATTTGTTTTTGATCTCAATTACCTGGAAGAGATCTTTCTTGTACATCAGGTTAAGAACTTTACATATCAAGTGACTACTGATGATACTGCCCAGTCGCTTAGTCTGAAGCAATCGGAGCGGGAATCGAACCCGTTACCGAGTAGTGCTGAAGTCAATGAGCTACATCTTCATCGATTAGAAGGACTTAGATCCTACTGATAGTTAGTCTTCAGCACCCATGAACCATGGCGCGTCGGTGGTTCAATAGTAGAAGGCTTGCCAACGGCACATGTGGTTCGATTTGGATTCCCGGTCAACACACTCTTGAACCTTGCTTAACTGGTAGTAAGTCTGGTTTAGAGGGAAAACTGGATGTGAGGCTAACAATCTCACCTCTTTAATAATAAGAAAAAATACTACCCCTATTGGAACTTCAAAGCTCATGCTTGAAGCCTTAATATTCTACTTGGAATGCAAAGGACATAAGAAGAAATCCCTGAACATTTGTTACTCCATTTATTTTCAATAATTTGACAATATGTTGGCTTGAACCAGAGCTTTTGTAAATAACTCTTACTTTTCTACTCCTTTCTTTTTTTACCCCAAAACAAATATTCTTTAAAGCTTTTATGGCTACTATTCCTGGCCACATTGATGGGATTATTTTTGCAGCGATTAGCTGCTCGTTTGGGTGTCGTTTCGGGTAGACATTTAGCTGAAGTGTGTTATGATGAATATCCTGCACCTGCACGTATTATACTCTGGTTAATGGTGGAAATTGCAATTATTGGATCAGATATGCAAGTAAGTTATGCTCAATTTGTATTGTTTTTCTTATTATTTGTTCACCTATTGTATACGTTATAGTAAGATAATGGAGTGCATGGTGGTTAAATAAAATGAAATTAAAATCTGAATCACGGTAAGATTGAAGCCGGCAGCATCAGAATTATTAGTTCCAACACTCTACCAGCTGAGACATACTCGTTGGTGTGTATCTTACGTGTTTTTAGTTAGTTGTGTCTCATTGGCTATATACCTATTTTGCATAAAGAGGCAAAATCGATGTGTTGTGCCTATCCAGTATGTGTACTATTGTATTTAGAAAAATTCACGAACGATTCTAAATTTACAGTCATCATCATTATCATCGAACAGAGTATAGAATGCCAGTCAAATCTCTATCGATTGAGATGGTTAGGACATGTGTTACGCATGCATGTCTAGCCATCGCCTTCCTTGACGGGCAATATTAGCTGACATAGGGTCAGGTTGGAAAAGAGCCTGTGGTGATCAAACCCAAACATGACTTCATTAGTCAATGAAATCCGCAACAGTTAGTTTAATCCACGTCGGGAGCTGTAGACTTCCTGGTTGGGGTCGTCGGGACTTTAAAAACCAATGAAGGTTGGAGACAATTGGTGATATGGCTCAAAATCGTTCTCAATGGCTGGTGCAGATGCATCCACTCCTTGTAACTTACAATATCCAATGAAACTATATTGTTATTCCATATTACTATTCTTTTCGCCTCATATCTCTGTTTTGAGTCTCTTTTTACTTTCTTCTCTTGCTTTGTGTGCTAAGTGGAGTATGGCGACTTAAACTGCTGCACATCAGTGCAAAGCTATATGTTGAAACCAGTCAGTTATTCAAATGACTACGCCAGCTTTATCAAATTTGAAAAGACCTTTGATGGCATCGATCGTGTAGTAGTCTGAAAACTGCCTCAACGCTCAGCAGTACCTGAAACCGTTATCAACCATAGTGAACAGCTGTACAAGGGTACCACCTGCCAACTGATTGACAACGAAAAGCTCAGTGAAATGAGAAGATAGGCGCACATGTTGAACTGAAAAGAAAACTCTACAAGATCTAGACTTCGCAGGTGATTTATGTATAATGTCAAACAAAACACGAAGATCTGCAGGCGAAAACCAATAAGATGACAGAATAAGCAACGAAGACGGGACTTCAAGTGAAGTGAACATAGAGAAGATATTGGTGGTGAAGATGCCTAACCAACAACAAGAAGTACAAATCACTGAGAGTAAATGGAAGGAAGTCACTTCTTTCACTCACCTGGACAGCATCGTTTCAACTACATGCGACACGGATAAGGATGTAGATGCCAGCCAGGATCTGAAAAGCAGTAAAAAAAATCTTCATTACTGTGAAATCACTCTGGAAATTTGCCGCACTCAGCATAAAAGGCAAGATTCGGATTTCCAGCAGTATAATATCTAGTTGTTTTGGAGACTTTGGTGCCCGCCTCACGAAAAGCATTTCTGATAGGCTGAAAACTTTGATCAAACAACCGCTTTCACTCGACTACTGAAGATGAGATTTTCAACTAGGAAGGATTAACAACAAGGAACTAACTCTTCATTGCAACGAACCCAACACATATACAGAAAGAAATGATTATGGATTGCCACCCAGACCCTTGAGTGGAACCCAAATGGAAAACGATTATTTGAGGCCTATGTCCAAGGGTGACATGGAGGAGATCGTGTGAGGCGGGAAAGAAAGATCACGGGTAATTGTGGAACCAGCTAAAGAGGGCTATATATAGAACAATGTGAAATACACAAATGTGCCGGTGAAACGTTTTGTTTCACTCGGAACCCAAGGGACCGAAATGAAAAGATGTAGGCCATCTTGTCTAACTATGATCACTCCTAGTCACTTTATTGGTTAACTTTCATTCTAATTTCCTAAGTAATCGTTCGAAGGAACGTGTTTCAACGCTGGAGGATAAATAACAAGTGACAGTTCGGACATACGTTTTAAAAAAAAACACTTTCTAAATGATGCGTTTATTTCGGTGATACAGTCAGTGTATAGAATAGACTGTAGTTAAAAGTATAACTTTTTCATATTATGAAGGCGTGGTTATGTCAAGTTACTTCTGAAAGTAAGCAGGACATTTCATTTATCACAACTGTCGGCTAATATAATCTGACCTGAAGCTCAAAAACTGTTACAACCTATAGGCTGGATCACTGAGTGTAGTTTATGCTTTGATCATAAGTGCCCGTGTTCTATCTCCTGTGTTAATTGGTATAATAAGGTGAGCAATATTAAAATTAAGCTTCGGTCAACTATTAGGTAAGGAGGGGATATCAATCGACGAGGCTGTGAGATTGGGCATGTGTTACATATGGCTAGTCATCGTCTTCCTTGACGGGCGATGTTAGCTGACATAGGGTGAGGCTGGAAAAGAGCTAGCGTAAGTCAAACCAAAACATGGCTTCATCAGTCAATGAAATCCACAACAGTTAGTTTGAGCCAGTCACGTAGGAAGGTGTAGACTGGCTTCCTGGTTGGGGTCGTTTGGACGGTAAAAACCAATGAATGCTGGGGACAATCGGTGAAATGGCTCAGAATGGTTCTCAATGGCTGGCGCAGATGCATCCACTCCTTGTGACTTGTAATTTCCAATGAGACTATATTGTTCTTCGTTATTACTATTCCTTTTGTCTCTTATCTGTGTCTACTGTCTGTATTATGCATTTCTTCTACTTACTTCTCTTGCTTTTTGTGCTACGTGGAGTGTGGCGACTTGAACTGCTGCATATAAGTGCACAGTTGTATGTTGAAAACAGACGGACAGACAGTTTATGCGCTTACAAGAACAATTCAAAGAAAAAAGAATTCAAACTTCAGTATGTTTTGGTATTGCGGGAAATAATAATAATAATACTGAATAGTAGAATGGGATTATCTGAATTCTCCTAGGGTATTTTTTATCCATACTCTGTGAGACAGTCGGTTAATGAATACAGGATACTGCCTATGGTTGACTTCACGAAGAACAGTTTGTTATTTCCATCATATACAAGATAGTTCTTAGGCTAATAATCTTTTTTGAAGAGGTCATCATGTGGAATGCAATATTGTAATTAAAGCTTGATAGCTGGGTTTTTAAACCAATAAGTCACAGTTTTATCAGTTTTAAACAGACTCTCTATCAGTTAGTTTTTACTCTTCTTCAATTGAACAATTTAATTTTATCGTTATTTTTTTCATTTTAAATTTAGGAAGTTATTGGTACAGCAATTGCTATTAATTTATTAAGCGCTGGTTATGTACCATTATGGGCTGGTGTGCTAATCACTATTTTGGATACATTCACTTTCTTGTTTCTTGATAAATATGGTCTGCGTAAATTGGAAATGTTCTTTGGTTTCTTGATTACTGTTATGGCTGTAACATTTGGTTATGAGGTAATTTATTATGACATATATATATATATATATATAACATGCTTCTTAAACAGCTGTTTAATGGTGGTCATCATTGATGATGGATGCTATTATTAGGAGAAAGCTGAGCGAGTAACTTAACCTTCGTCTGCTCTTGGAAGTGTGGGGGCGGTTGTTACTTCCTGGCTGCACACACCGTAGAAGTTGATTGATTCTTCGGGTACCTGAAACAGAGAGAGGGTTAGTGTTGCGTGACCGCAGAGCCCAGGGGACAACTGCTTAAGGCTGGCCGGTCACACACGGTCTGTATGAACTGGTTTCTTGGTTTGGTTCCGTATTGGTAAACTTACCGCCGGTTACAGACCACCGTAGGGTAAGTCGGGATGTACAATTTTTTGGGTTGACCTTTTCTAACTCTCTCTCCAAGGTGGAGAGGCAGCATAGTTAGCATGATGGTCATCTGAGGGAAACACCTCACTGCTGCACATCAGTGCACAGTTCTATGTCGAAAGCAGACAGAGTAACTTCAGCCACAGCATGACTCAGATTCGAATCTCTGAGGAGGCGTCAGCTACTTCGAGTCTGTGAATACACTTTCCTGACAAGTACCAACAAGCATGAAACCTTGGTGCAAGACATCTTGCTGATTGCCTCCGACCAGCTGACAACATTAATTTCAAGTGCACTACGATGACTACTAGTCGTCGTTAGCCTGTGAATCATCTTGGAAACGTGACTAATAGAATTCAATTAGTATTAACACCAAGAACTAGACAAACAACATCGGTTATATCCTCGTTACTACTCAGTATTAAGCTACTTAGATTTAACAACTCATGCTTTTTAAATGATACCTCCTGAATTCGTCAGGTTGTCTGTCCCACAGACATGTTACTTAAATCCCCCACTTTTGTTATGGTGGTTTTAAATAGTCTTTTGTTATATCATCTTTCTTTGCCAAGTTCTTTTCCACAGGTTTATTTTTTTCCATATTAGTTCGTTTATTAGATATATCACACAGTGAAACAGTATTATTTACCGGACATTGACGTTTTGAACAAAATTTATTGTTCATAATCACATCAATTATAATCACACGACTTCGAAACTTGAGTTTCATAGTTTTCTTTCTTCTCTGCTATTTGTCGTCGTTGGGGTAGTAGGATTTTCCAGATGTCTGGGTGGACAGGTGTTGAATCATTCCTATTACATGTATTTGCAGTTGATTCGATAAACAAAGCTTTTGCTATCCGTCTCTCCCTCCTAACTGTCGCATTAGATTTTAAAACTATCACCTTATCCCATCTATCCTATTGTATGGTTGTGTGTAATAGCATGTAGTACTATATGCAGCCGAACTATTCTGTAGATTTCTTATCTTATTCGGGTCAATTAATCTAGATTTTTCTGGATTTTTGTGCTCCGCTAGTCTGACTGCCCCTGTTCTACTACTTTGACCTATGCATTTCACCTGACAGTCATTGTGGGCAGGATATTAGATAAACTAAATTGTTTTGCTTAATGGGCTGTTCCATAGGATCCTTTAACCGACAAAGCTTGTTTCTAATTGAGTTTGTGGGTGGTTTGAATGCCAGCCACTTTTATTCCTGCCTTATTAAGAATTCTGCGTAAGGTTTCCGAGGTTCCTTCCTTGTATGGAATTACTACTGATGATTTAGATTCCTCATTGTTGGTGTCGTCATTATGTTGCGCAAGTTTGACATGCATATCGTCATTAATATAACTATTATTATTATTATTACGACTACTATTACTATTATGATCATTATCATTATTATTATTATCACTACCACTACTATCATTATTTATTTTATTTTTACATTTCTCTACATACTTTCTGACTAATTTATCAGGGTAATTATTAAGATTCAAAGCTTCTCCCATATGCCTCACTTCCTGTCTTAAATTTTCTTTGGTACTACTTAGTTTTTGTGCTCTGTCATTTAAACATTTCACCAATCCTATATTCACTGACATAGGATGGGATGATCGGAAGTCCAAATATCTGTTTGAATGTGTGGGTTTCCTGTAAACACTAGTGTTTAACTTCCCATCTCCTTTCCTTTTTATGCTACAATCTAATATTGGAAGCTCCCCTTTCTGACTTTCCGATTCTTAAGTGAATTGAATTGCCTCCACCTTTGAGTTAATGTGTTCGAAAAACCTATCTATATCTTGTGCTCTAAGCACAGTTAATGTGTCATCTTCATACCTCCACCATACTTTTAGGGTGGGGGTGAACGTCTCAATCGCTGTTTTCCCACCTCTCCATGAATATGTCTGCTACAACCGGAGATACTGGTGATCCCATGGCAAGTCTCTTGGTTTGTTTATATATTTTCTCCTGGAATTTAAATACTGTGGAAGTCAGGCATAGCTGTAGTACTAGCATTATGTCCTCAAGTGGCACTTTCGTCCTAAGTTCGAGTTCTTGGTCAGAAATGAGTTCGCTTCTGACTACCTCTATAGCCATATTTATTGGTATACGTGTATATAAACTGACAATGTCTTCATTATCTAATTTTAAATTATCTAATCTATGTTTTAGTTCATAAGAATTTGTTAGTCTAGATTTCGAGTGGCTTTTAAGGGGATTTAATACCATGTTTAAATATTTATATAATCTATAAGTAGGTGAATTTCTAAAATCATCTATAGGTCTAATAGGGTATCCTGACTTATGAACTTTAACAACACTATACATCCTACTGAGGGTATTAGTTTTGGGCATTAAATTAAACCACTTAGACTCACCTAGAAACGGCTTCATTCGGCGTATAAGGTCCGTTGTGGATTTCTTAACCTTATTCATAACGGTGTCTATTGATTTATTAATTTCCTCATATGGTTCAGTTTGTATGTGAGTATTCACCTTGTCCAAATAGTCTGACTTGTCTAATATTACTGTTGCATTTCCTTTGTCTGACTTTGTGATTACTATATCCTTGTTATTCTTGAGATGTTTTAGGACTTCCATTTCTGGTTTTGTCAAGTTAGACTTTCCCCGTGTTTGTTGTTTTAATGTTAGTGCACACTGTGCCCGTACTTCGTCAGCTGTTATTTTGTCTATCCTACTTAGTGCTAGTTCTATTTTAAGGATGACATCTTCAGGTTTCAGCTTGTCTACCGCTACATCGAAATTTAGTCCCTTTTCTAATACACTTATTTCTGTAGGACTTAATATATTTGTTGAGAGATTGATAACCCACTTTGTTTTATCGATTGCTGTTGACTTACTTTAGATTGATAATTTCATCGTTCTGAGATGAAGATTTCTCCTCTAATAATTTAGTAAACTTTTTGGTTTGAGTATTCTTTGACTTTTTGGGAGTTGCTGATTTAGTATTGCTAGAGGATTCTATTATAAGATCGTAATCCACATTGGTAACTAACTATTCCCATTAGCTTTTGCTTCAACTGCTCGATTTCATGTCTGATGTGGTGCAACTTTTTAACAATTCTGTGGATGTCTTCTTTTAAGCATACTTTTTGTAAAACAAGGTAAAGCAAGAAGTCTTTTCAGAAGACTTTATGCATGTACGTTTAAGTATAAAAATTCCACGACACCACATTTGGCGGGTATTGTATGTGCTGGAAGTAGTGTCAGGCACGAACTAACTAACTAACCCTCTTCGCACTAGTAAATAAACCATTATCTCCATCCTCTCTCCACCAAGCTTTATTGCAATTGTTCTTCTTATATTTATAATCCTCGCAGTATTTTTTTCATAAGTGTGAACATAATTTAAGCTGTGTTATAACTGTTGATGTTGTCTTTCTCCTCACCACACTATATCAACAGAACATTAGATTCGATTATCTATAACATGCTGAAATTTCCAAACTTAATTGGCAATATGTTTTGAAATAAGCTCACTTTTATTATTATTATTATTATTCTCATCATTTTGTACTTTGAATATTTTTGACTTAATACCGTAAATGTGGACAAATTCCTCTGGTTAATTTTGTTTAAATCTTATTTATATTTTGAGTAAATCAGATGCAATATTGTGACAAATGCTGAGAATTCCATTCTGTATTATAAGTACTGTTTTTGGAATAAAGTAGATTATTATTATTACTATAGATAGGCTAGAAAGACCTAGAAACGTCAAATTTTTACGTTGTTTCTATAATGTGTTTCGCAATGGAAGAACTAGGTTGTATGTTTTCATTATTGAATCGGTTCAGTTACTGACTAGTGTCCAATGAAAAATATCCAATACAATCCTACAGGAGGTCAATCGCGAGTCTGAATAGGTCAGTGCCAGCGTCTTTGACTGCAGTACTGCACTGGGTGACGCGAGTTCGAATCCCAGAAGGGAGTTCAGTCCCTTCTAGGTTGCAGACACGCCTTGCCGCTGAGTGCCAACTAGCACGAATCCTAGGTGCAGGGCTTCCTGCCGATTAATTCCAACCATTTAATAGTAAAGTGTGTCAATTTAAACTGGTGCACTTTTGTGTGCAAAGTTCTGTGTGTTGGAATCAATCAATCCTCTGACTACTTGTTCTTTTATGCATCATAATAAATGAATTGACTAACTGTCTGTTTTATTTTTCAGTATGTTGTAGTAAAACCTGATCAAAGACAACTTTTACGTGGACTATTTGTGCCTTCATGTCCTGGTTGTGGTTGGCCTGAGTTAGAACAAGCTGTCGGCATTCTTGGTGCTGTTGTAATGCCTCATAATTTCTATCTACATTCTGCTCTCGTCAAATCACGCAATGTCGATCGAACTAATCCATCCGCGGTAGGTGTTTCAATCATTTTCAAATATTACATTTCCTATTGCGAATATAAATTAATGAAGAATTTCATAAATTTCACTTCTCGCATGTTTTTCAGTTTTATATTGAAATACATTGAGTTAATTATTATTATTATTATTATTGTGTAGGAAGTTATCGATTTAAGTTGTGTGCTACTTACTGAAAAATCGATTGGTCATGTGTTTAACCTGATGATGATAATTTATGTTCTTATTTGAGTATTATGCATATCAGCGATTGTCTGTATCATTTTATGACTAGTCTTCATTTGCTGAATGTTGAATGTCACCTTGATTTATTCTTAGCACTTCAAAAATGAGATGTAAACACTGTGCATCAGCTCGTTTTGTCGTCCTTCTTTGTGGCTGTCAGACATTGCCAGTGATAGTAGAATGCTTCATACATTGAAAGTGAAAGACCTGAATATCCTAACAGTCTCTGTGACTACAGATTTTAGCATTCTTGTAATAAGATGAGTAGTAATAAGGTTAGGCTTAGAGCGTTAGATAAGGGGGGGGGGAAATTAATCACTAAGGTTGAGAAACTACATTGATTGAGGAGGCTAGGCTACGTGTTTACTACGCGCTATGCGCTAAGTTATGGTTTTCCTCGCTCACCGATGTGTTAGCTGACATAGAATATTCCTTTCTGACCTGTCTTTTCGACATAGAGTTAGACTGGAAAGAAGTCAAACATGGTCAAATCAGAACTTAGCATCTATCCATGGCTGTCTTTAACTGTTGTTTTTGAGCCGGGTAGGCAGTTGTAGACTGTCTGGCTTGACGTCTTTGAGACGCTAAGAATCAATATTTGAAGTTGATATAGATATGGCTCAAAATGTTTCTGTATGGCGCTGCAGAAGGTTGCAGACTGGATTTTTCCTTTTTCATTTTAATCATTTCGAACACCTTCGGAGTGTCCACAGATTTTCTGTGATTCCACTTAGTGCATATTAGGCCTTTAATCTTAGATTTTCGAATGTGTATCAGAGAAGCGAAATGTAACCCCTTCTTAGTTCTTTTAATTTATATGTTTTGTTAGATACAATTGAAGGTAACGCGTGGTGGGGATGTGTCCACTTTTTGTATTGTCTTAAGCTACAGTTCGTTTGATATAGACATAAAAGTTTCAGGATTGATCATAGGAAATTCACTTCACACTAATTACAGAAGCTAATGAAGTATGAGACGATTCTACGTTTTGAACTTATATACTATACCCGCAGAAGAAAGTGGAAATTATCTTTGTAAAAACATGTGCATTTTAATCAACAGATACTTTATAATCTGTGTAGAGATAAATGTGTCTCACTGGCATAAGCATTAAGCTATCAGACAATGGTTTCTTAGTCCGAATTCCTCTCCACTCACCCTAGCCTGATCTCTGGCCATCAGCATCATCAACCAGTCTTATGCTACATGGAGTGTGGCAACTCGAAATGGTCACATTGTCCAAATTTCTATGTTGAAATCAGTCAGTCAGCGTAATAAGTGTGACTGGTAGTCTGATAGATACGAAATCTGTTTCAGGTAACTAAGTACTAACTATTCTTTGGTTGATGGTGGCTAACGGTCGAAGGAGGGGAAATCAGTTGACGAGACTGTGAAATTACATCAACTGAGATGGTTAGGACATGTATTACGTATGCCTAGTCATCGCCTTCCTCGACTGACGGGCAATGTTAGCTGATATAGGGCGAGGCTGGAAAAGAGCTAGCGGCGGTCAAACGAAAACATGGCACCAGTCAATGAAATCTGCAACAGTTAGTTTGAGCCACGTAGGAAGGTGTAGACTTACTGGTTGGGGTAGTTTGGACGGTAAAAACCAATGGTTGGAAACAATTGGTGACATGGCTCAAAATCGTTCTCAGTGGCGCAGATGCATCCACTCCTTGTGACTTATAATTTCCATTGAAACTGTTTTGTTCTTCGTTATTACTATACCTTTGTCTCATACCTCTGTTTACTGTCTTTATTATGCATTTCTTCTACTTTCTTCTCTTGCTTTGTGTGCTACAAGGAGGGAGTGTGGCGACTTGAACTGCCGCACATATGTGCAAAGTTCTATGTCGTAAACAGACAGACAGACAACGGTCGAATGCAGAATGTGACTTCTTTCGCATTTACGCCTAGTCAGTTAGATGTATTTGCATCTCAATAAGTGATAGTGTTCCAACCCATACTCGAACCCTATTGCCCCCATCCACCCCGTATCATTCCAAACACCAAAGCATTATCCATGAGGCTATTGAGTGATGACAGCCACCTCTTGTCCAACGCATATCAGTTGCTGTTTGTTTGAGTCGATTTACATTTCCAGTTGATTGATTTATATTAGACCGGAATTTTCAGTCTCTGGTAACTGCTAGTATAGATGCTAAAATGATTTCTAAAGGTTAACATGATGTTATGTAATCGATGGTGGATAGCAGTGGAATCCAGAATGTGCAATTCTAACTGTGTAACTACAAAATTATGCGTTTGTCATGTGTGGTCAACTTTTCTTTTGCTTTTTTTTGTATTCCTTTACGTTCCCAGTGGGATATAGGGCTTCAAGTTAAAGACATGAAGTTTCTGTAGCAGTGTTGTTTATTTTTACAGGTTGGGGTTGCTAGCCTCATGCCCAACCTTTCCCTCTTTACCAGCCTAGGGTGCGTCCGTGGCCGGGGATCGAACCCTGGGCGTGGTCGGCAAGCGTCTTAACCGCTTTGCCACCGACGCACAACTTTTCTGAAAGACTATTATGTGAAGTGCTTTTCGTTTTCTCATTCTTGTTTTTAAAAAAAACATATCCTCTAAGCTGTCTTTACTGCCACCCGTACACTCTGAGTATTTTATTGTCGGCAAATTGTGTTTCTTTTTCTTTTTGTCTTCTCTAGGTACGTGAAGCAAATATGTATTTCTTTATTGAGTCAGCGTTGGCATTAGTTGTTTCACTTATGATAAATATATTCGTTGTCTCAGTTTTCGGTGCTGGATTCTATGGGAAGAATACAACACAAGTGGTAAGTGTTTTTGTTTTTTTGTTCAATTCTTGATTTTTCTTATTCATTTAATTATTGAAAACATCATTTCGGTAATTGGAAAAGATATTCTCTTCGGTGATCTCCTCTTCAACGCTTGTACATTTCTATATGATTCTTATATTGCAAGTCTGATTGTTAACTAAATTCAGTTAGAGTACACTATTGGAAACCAGGAAGTACTGGACAGCTATTTCGTCCTTATTTATGACTAATTCAACAGTGCTCACACATGTCCTCACCAGAGATCGAACTCAGAAGTTACACTTCACAAGGTGAACTCGTATACCATTTAGTCATAAGGATAGAACCCAGTGGTCCATCAATTCGTGACATTTAGCGCGACCTGTCGTCCAATGCCACCGGTGAGTATCTCTCTTCATGACCGACTTTGTGGACCCTGCTGGTCACCACTTCCCCACTACCAGAGCTTTAAGAATCTTCATGCTTAAATCACTCATTAGTGAGCATTAGATTAGTTCTTATTATTACTGACTGATTTTCAATATAAACGTCAAGTCAGTTTTGCTATACGGATCAGAAACTTGGCCAGTGTGTCACCAAGAATATTTCCAACAGGTTGCAGACCTTTATCAACAGCTGTCTTCGCCCTATACTCAAGATCTGATAGCCGGAAAGAATCACCAACAAGAAACTATGGGAACAAACAAAACAAGAAACAATCGCTCAACAAATATGCAGGAGAAAGTGGAGATGGATCGGACACTCGCTGAGGAGGCCGTTGGGTGACATCGCGCGTGAGGCCAATGGTCGAGTGGAACCCGGAAGGGAAGCGGCGAGTGGGACGTCCAAGGGTGACATGGAGGAGATCGTGCGAAGAGGATTTGAAACAGTATGGACTAACATGGATGCAAGTGAAAAGTACAGCAGAAGACAGAAGCAAGTGGAGGTGTGCAGTTGAAGACCTATGTTCCACTAGGAACCCAAGGGAACAATAATAATAATTACTGACTGAAATAATTTATGTGTATTCTTAACTCAGAAAGCTCCTATAATGAGACAGTTAGTGCTGTGAACATTTTGTTTTTCTCAATTCAAAATGTGTACTTTCTTCATGTTTCTTTCTCATTTTTTTTCTTGTTAGTTTGAAAATTGCACACTCCAAGGACACATTCCCGTTCGTTTCACAGATGCAGTAAGTCATCTTACGTGATATGCATTTCCTTATAAAGGTGTTTTAATTGTTCAACGTTGGTTTGCAGGGATTTGATTAGTTTCAAGTTTCAAATCACGAACTGACTTCAGTTACGGAACCATTGAAAAACCTGGGAGTACACTGACAGCCATTCCATTCTAGTTTAGAACTCTTCAGCAGTACGCACCCACAGGGACTCGAAATCAAGACCTTCAGGTTACCAGGTGTGCTTGTAGGCAGGCATTCAACCACTGGGACTCGACTCAATAGTCCACGAATTCCGATTTCTGCCAATTCGTGATATATATATATATTTAGCGTAACCTCGAGCCAGTGTCACAGACGAGTTACAGTCCCTCTTGCCTGACTTGGCTCCAAAATAAAAATATTTTTTAGATTGAAGGTTAGAAGGTAGGCGAAGGGGGAAGGATTATTGAACATATTTTAAAAGACAAACAACTTATTATTTGAGACAGTCGCCCATAGATTCAGCAAGTTGTCAAACAAACGAAACCCCAGAAATTGGGCCATTAACATGTGGCATGCTATTAAGCTATTCAGTCATACAGGATTTTGCGTAAACTAGAGTTCAAAAAATACATTTACTCTAATGTATTTGACTAGTTGTGGAGTTGTGGTTCCATTGGTTAAGCCTCTCAACTTCCAACCAGTCGCTCATACTTTCGAACCTCGCCCCACACACACGAATTTTGAGCAACCCCAGCAATGTTAGCTGACATAGGATCAAGTTGGAAAAGAGCCCGTGGTAGTCAAACCAAAACATGGCTTTATCAGTCAATGAAATCCATAACAGTTAGTTTGAGCCACGTCGGGAGGTGTATATTGGCCTCCTGGTTGGGTTCCTCGGGATGTTGAAAACCAACGACGGCTGGAGACAATCGGTGATGGGGTTCAAATTGTTCTCGATGGCACAGACGTATTCACTCTGTGTGATTTATCGTATCCAATAAAACTCTACTGTTTTTCCATATTACTATTCTTTTTCCCTCACTCACACTTCTGTTTATTATGTCTCTGTTGAGTCTCTCTCTTTACTTCTTTTGCTTTGTGTGCTACATGGAGGGAGTACGGCAAGTGGAACTGCTGCACATCTGTGCAAAGTTCTACAATGAAAACAGTCAGATGGTTAACCCCAGGTAGTATAACCAGCCCTCATATAATAGGTGCAGCTCATCGCCAACTGCATGGAATTGCACGTGGTTGTTGAGTAATTTTGATTGATTTGAATAGTCCAGAAACTTGCTTTAAGCCAGCACTCAGAAGTTGAAGTATAAAATTAAAGTCCGTCTAGATAAAGGCACCATAATCAATTTTCTCTTCTAGTATTGAAGGCCCCCATAAGCGACCTGGTACGGCTGAGGGTGGATAGATTTTGGTCTTGCCAAAATGCTGTCATGTGACCACGCGCTCATAGCTTCTGCCAGGTAAGTGTTACTCACTGTCTTCATACAGCGGTGTGAAACAGTGAATGTGAAAGTTTGGCGGTGATAGCCGGACCTGTGGACATGCTGTTCTACACCTAGGGAAGTTGGAAAACCCTGATTCGAAACGTATAGTGTAAATGGGCTCCAGAATCTGAACGGACCGAATGGTATATGAACACGTTTTAGTCACCGGAAACCATTGGATCATGTAGCTCCTGATGTTGCTGCGCCACTGCCTTGTGAATCAGACTTCAAGTGAAAGTTTCAGGGTAGAGTTGTCCCCTTCAGACAACCGTTTGCTTCGGTCTAGGCGTCCTCGAAGTATTCCAACCGTCTCAAAAACGATGTGATTTTATATGGCGGTTCTCTTGGTATCTATAGTAATGTACCAAGTTTGTGTTTCAATATATATGTAAACATTAAAGACTAATGATTTAAAGAATTCTGTGGATCTCGTCCGGATGATGGCGTTTACACATTGGTATTATTATTATTATTAGTTACAAGGCTTGTTCAAGTTTCTACCTCTCATGTCTAAACTAGAATGATGTTAATGCTCATTAAGGCTAAAGCATAATGTTATGCCTGCACCCTCGCTCCCACAATGATATAACCTACATATACATGCTTTTCTCTTATCACACTGTTATTGTTCATTGATCTAGTGTTTGCACTCAGTTCAATCGATATTTTCAATTGATTGTTAGATTTAGCGATTAGAGAGTAGATCAAAAGTGGTTTAGCTTTTTCTATCCCTCTCTCTCTCTTTCTCTCCATTCATTCATGAATTAATTAGTTTCCTGATTTACACATATGTAATCGTATAGGTGTGTGTGTGTTAGCTTCCATTCTCGACACATTACATGATGCATGTATGCAATATTCATGTATTTGTCATTTACTAGCGGTTGGTGGTTTCAGTGAACTAATATGCTGAATTTCCATTGACTGTCTTTTTGACTATTTTATTCATATTAATTAATTTTTTATCATATTATGTGATTATGTGATTTTCATTACTTCAACACTACGGCGTACGTCAAGTCTTTGTCAACCTCATTCAACAGCTATATATGACAATGCCATGTGTCATGTGATCCACAACGGAAAACTCAGCGAGGCGTTCGAAGTGCATACAGTGGCACAGTGGTTAGGACTCCCGTCGACCATGCACATGGTCTGGGGTTCGATCCCTCCTGACGCACACCCGATATCAATGGTCAGCCTGCAAAATTTGGGCTACCACCGATATCACACGCTGAAAATTTCATACTTGTACCAAAAATACGGTGTGGAGTCAAGCTATATAAAAAAAATTTGGTCTCTGTATTTCTGATTTGATTAAAATGTTCAGTCTCTTAACACTAGGATTATCTTTCATTTTGTGTAACCTATCTTTTTCTTGGCGAAGCATTTTGAGCTGAGAAGAGGAGCAGTGGTCATATCTTAAGAAGGGTGTCTCTTTTGGAAAATAAACATCAAGACAGAATTTGAGATAACATGTTACGTTTGTGATTGTGCCATCTAGAACTTGTTCAGTGAAGAAGTCCCAGTTTGTATCTTTTAACAGGCATCTTAGACTCTGTATGTTGTCATGGGAGTAACATCTGTGTTGTGTTTTCTTGCCAAGGTTCAAGAAGACCCTTCTGTGCAGCTTTCTATATATTTCGGGCGAGATACGTATGATACAATAATAAGAATTAAGTACTGAGGCTCTTTTCCGAGCTTCAAATATGCCGAAGTCATTTTTAAATACTAGATCAAGGGTATTTTCTAGTCGTGTTGAGAAGTCGACAATATTTTCGTGACGTAATGATGTAAGGGAACTGTAGTCACAAGAATTAAAGTCGTCAGTAATTATTGACAAGGAGTTTCTAAGAGAGGTGGCAGCCAAAGAAGTAAATTCATCAGCAAATAAAGGTAGTTCTGAGAGGCTACATCCAGGTGCAATATAAATGTTTGAAATGTATGTGTAGTTAAATTTGGACAGGTGTTTCGGTCGACATTTAACAGTAAGGCAGTCAATTTTGTCACTAAATAATCTAAAACATATATTATTTGAAGTATGAATTGATGAAGGTTGCAACGCCGCCACCCCATTTCTTTTTAGAGCCGCATCGATCTTGTCTGAACAATCAGAAACCATTTAGACAGATTAAACTGTCATCATATAGGTCATGGAGCCAGGTTTCTTAAAGAGTTGTAATCCCTGCATCGTGATATACATTGTAGGACACTAGGGATTGCAGACAGTTAATTTTGCCTGGCAGCAGGGAACGACAGTTTGTCCTCATAACGTCAGGAACAGTCATTTGATGTATTAGAATACGTTTTAAAGCAATCTACCACCCAGTATGGTGCTTTTTCTTGGATTTTGTAACAAGATTATTGTTAAATTTATGCTTCACTTTTTATTTTTAGGCTTCTACTTTCCAACCGGATAGCGTAGATCTTTACACTGGAGTAAGTTGATGTGCTTTTCTGTCCTTTTCTTTTGTTCTTTACAAACATATTATATAGCGTTTTACGCGTGACTTATATAGTTGAATCTGATATGTGGTTTTCATGTTTCTGTAGCGTCAGTCAAACTAACAGATGTAAATAGACTTATACTTTTAGAAGGCTATGAATCTGATGGGAAGCAAAAGATCACTAAAAGTCTTCGTAACGAAAAGTGTCGAAGAAATAGTTGCAGTAGGTAATATCCACCACCATTTGTTTATGCTTATTAAGTTAGTGGATTGTGAAGTCCCTGTGATAAGTAGAATATTCTCCGTAAAAAAGTGTAACTACTCAGGATAGACTACTTGGAAGTTAGGCAGAATATTTGAGAAGCAATTCAACTGGCCTACAGCTACACTACTACTTGTGCCAACCACACACAAGATCAGGGTTTGATTCTTGGCTGATAAACTCCTAAACCTCGCTTAGCAAGTAGTAAGCCTGGAAACGAGGGATGATTGGGCGTGAGGTCGGCAACTTCACTCCCCCCTCCCTCCCCCAAGAAGCAACACCGCGAATACTGAAACTTCAAGACCTTAAACCTGATGTCCTATGTTCCACCTGGAACTCAAAGGAATAAAAAAAGCACAACAAAAATTGCTGATTTTTAGTTGTTGCGTTTATTTTATTTTATTTTTTTACTGTGGGTGCATATATATATATATATTCACCTGTTACTCTCTTTTCATAATTAATCTCTCTGTCTTTAATACCTATTAAAGGGTATATTTCTAGGTTGTGAATTTGGTCTGGCTTGTCTTTATATCTGGGCTATTGGAATATTAGCAGCTGGACAATCGTCTACAATGACAGGAACTTATTCCGGACAATTTGCTATGGAAGGCTTTTTAAACTTAAAATGGAAACGTTGGCAAAGAGTACTGTTAACACGATCCATAGCTATTTTGCCAACTATTCTAACAACTGTATTCAAAGGTTGGTTTATTTGCATTCATTCATTCATTCCTTTGGATTTTACGGGTTTATTTTTTCTCCTTCTTATTCGATAAAGGATGAATTATTTGTATTATTGTACACCTACTTGTTTTTCTTCTTTCTTGGAATTATCACTATCTCATCATTGTAGACACAGGAATGTTGTAAACTTGAATTTTTGATCTAATTTAATAGTATATATATATATCGTGTTAGTTTCGAGATAGTTTACCTATAAAGAACAGATGTAAAAAATACGGAAATATCAACCTTTTCAGTTCTAAGGGCAAGTTGCAGTTGGTGAGTCCTACCAGGTCACAGCGTGAAGTTAATGCTTAGCGAAAGCGTTTTACAGAATTCATGAGCCACTACTTGGTTCCAACGCAGTAGAGCTGTGAATGATCCTTGTGTTAGCCTTGTAACCTAAAGGTCTAGGACTCAATGATCCTGGTTGACGTGTGTGGTATCTAACTACTCATCAGGCAGTAGTAGTATATGTAGGGTGATCAATACTGAGGTTAGGCGTCGAGTGCTAGGTAAGGAGGGGAAATCAATCGACAAGGCTGTGAAGTTACATCGACTAAGATGGTTAGGTCATGTGTTACGCATGCATGCTTAGGCCATCGCCTTCTTCGACGGGCAGTGTTAGCTGACTGAAATAGGATGGATCAGGTTGGAAAAGAGCCAATGGTGGTCAGACCAAAACGTGACATCAGTCAATGAAATCCACAACAGTTAGTTTGAACCGGCCACGTAGGGAGGTGCAGACTTCCTGGCTGGTTGGAGTCCTCGGGATAGTAAAAACCAATGAAGGCTGGATACAATCTATGATATGGCTCAAAATCCTCGTTCTCAATGGCTGGTGTAGATGCATCCACTCTTTGCGACTTATAATATCCAATAAAACTATATTGTTCTTCCATATTACTATTCTTTTCGCCTCATATCTCTCTTTACTGTCTCTATTTCGCGTTTCTTTTTACTTTCTTCTCTTGCTTTGTGTGCTGAGTGAAGCGTGACAACTCGAACTGCTGCACATCTGTGCAAAGTTCTATGTTGAAACCAGTCAGTCAGCCATCATTCGACTTTCAGTCAGGGGATCCTGAGTTCGAATCCCTTTTCACTTCGATCTGGGCAACTGGATAGTATCGTCAGTCATCACATAATAAATATATGCCGCATCACTTTGTACTTGGATGACCTTTTCTAGGTAACCGAGTTCAAACGAAACGGAAGTTATCGCAACTCTACATAAACTAAATAGTCTTCTACACAAACGTTCAGCAGATTTTTCTTTTTTATTCATGAAGTGATTTTTAACATGTGTTCATTTAACACAATTATTGATTAATTGTATTGGATCGAAATGCTCTCTATTAGCTCTGTTGTTGCACAAATTAACTTCAATAATTCAACAACTTATACGCGTTGTACACGAGGTTATTTTGTCATAGCCCACTGACCTATTGAATATTCCTCTAGTGTTTGAAATAATTGATACTGGGTTTGAGTTCCAGTGTAAGTACTATTACTTATTGAAAATGCATGAGTACCTGCAGTTGATGAGTCTTAGCTAGGACGAAACGCTTCTCTTAAATTTCACTGCTGTCTGTGTCTGTCTGTTTTCGACATAGAACTTTGCACATATGTGTGGCAGTTCAAGTAGCCACACTCCATGTAGCACACAAAGGAAGAGGAGAAAGTAGGAGAAATGCATAATAGAGACAGCAGACAGGGATATAAGACAAAGGAATAGAAATAACGAAGAACAATATAGTATAAATGGGTATTATAATTCACAAGGAGTGGATGCATCTGCGCCATTGAGAACGAGGATTTTGAGCCATGTCACCAATTGTTTCCAACCATTGGTTTCTATTGTCCCGAGGACTCCAACCAGGAAGCCAGTCTACACCTTCCTACGTGGCTTAAACTAACTGTTGTAGATTTCATTGACCGATGCCATGTTTCGGTTTGACTGCCACTAGCTCTTGTCCAGCCTGATCCTATGTAAGTCAGCTAACATTGCCCGACGAGGAAAGCGATAACTACTGCATACGTAACACATGTCTTAACCATCTCAGTCGATGTAGCTTCACAGCCTCGTCGACTGATTTCCCCTCCTTACCTAGCACTCGACTGAAGCCTAACCTCAATATTGCTCACCTTATTATACCAGTTCACGCGGGAGATAGAACGCAGACACCTATGATCGAAGACAGCTAATCTTTTCATGTCTTCCACTCTCAATGGCCAGGTCTCACAGCCATGAAGGAGGACAGAGCGGACTGTTGAGCAGTACACACGCCCTTTGGTCGATAGTGGGATATCACGTCTACGCCAGAGACGACGTAAACTGGCATATGTGAAACTAGCCCTCTATATTCGTGCTGAGATTTCGTCGGAGATCAACGCGTTGGCACTGGCTGACGGTACTTCCCAAGTAAGTGAAGCGGTCAAAGTGCTCTACCACTTCACTTCCTATTTCTAATCTACGGGTCGGTGTAGTCCAATCCTGTAGCATCATCTTACATTTTACAGGGGCGAATCACATGCCAAACATACGAAGATTGTTGCTCAAGGTGTTCAGATGACTCTGCATTTTGTCAGCGTCCTCGCCTAGAAGGACTATATCGTCTGCATATTCTAAGTCAACGAAATTATTCCCTGGTAGCAAGTCAATCCCAGAGTCTCTGAAGTGAGTTAGGGTTAAGTCCGTTAGTACATCTATGATGAAGTTGAATAGAAATGGTGATAGTGGGCATCCCCGACGGACACCACTAGTTGTCACCACTTCAGATGACAAAATTTCACTGCTAGCCAACGTCAGTCAAATAAAATTTTGTTCTTCATTTTTATTCTTTTACAGGTATTGGTGATTTAACTGATATGAATGATTTATTGAATGTATTAATGAGTGTTCAGCTTCCATTCGCTGTTATTCCATTGCTCACATTTACAAGTAGTAAAGCAGTTATGGAGGAGTTTAGTAATTCTATGTAAGTTAGTTGTTTTCATGTGTTTCCTTGTGTGTGTATGTGTGTGTGTATGTGTCAGTACATGGTACATAAGAAGTCCGACCTAGGCAGCTAGTTCCTTGTATTGTAACTTAACCGGTTAATAAACAGAGTAGTCTGTACCGAAATGACATAAATTTAAAAAAAAAGTAGTAATACCTTTATTCTGAACAATGTTTATGTAATGTCCAAAATTTGCCGCTAACTTTATAACATGATATTTTCTCTACGTCCAGTATCTTCAAATAGAAGATTATTTGACAAGAAGATTTTATGACACAGTCCTATCTGACCTGAAGCACAAACCAATCCATTATGATGTCTCTTCTTTGTCTGTTACGAGAAATACACGACATTTTATCGATTTTTTTATTCCTTCACGTTTCCAGTGGAGCATGTAGGGCTTCAAGGTAGAGGCCTGAAGTTTCTGTAGCAGTAGTGATTATTTATACAGGAAGGGGTTGCTAGCCTCATGCCCAACCTTTCCCTCTTTACCAGCCTTTATTTCTGGCATAGTGAGGTAGGGGAGTGCATCCGTGACCAAGGACCGAACGCCGGATCATGTGCATGGTCAGCAAGCGTCCTAACCGCTGTGTCACCAATGTACCATTTTTGTCAAGTGCTAATTATAGAATGTTCAGGCGTAAATTTTGCCAACCAAGCACACCACTGAGGAACTGTCATCTCATGCATTGAGATACACTGCCGTCGAGGACAATGCTTTTCCTCATGCTTGGTAGAAACTTACGAATCAGCAGGTTGTAAGTGTTTTAAATACTCACGAGAGTAAAAAAAACACTGTTAGAGGTCATTACTTTACTAGATTTAAACAAACGGAATAAGAGAAACTATGTGCTAACTAACATATTGGAGGAGATTTTCGCTAGCCCAAGTTCTAAGCCGGCCGCCGTTTAAACCGATCTATTTTCTGCCCACACATCTTCATCTCCTCTTCACATGACCTCCTCCAAGTCACCGTCGCATTGACGACCAACACACCGCTTCCCTTTTGCGTTCCACTCGAGGGCTAGTCTAGTGATGTCACCTGGTGGCTTACTTAGAGTATGGCCAATCCATCTCCATTTCTTCCTGCTTATTTGTTGCACAGTCGGTTCCTGTTTGGTTTGCTCCCACAGGTCCCTATTGCTGATCTTTTCTGGCCACCTGATTTTGAGTATTGAGCGAAGACAACTGTTAATGAAGGTCTGTAGTTTGTTTGAGATGCTCTTTATGAGGCGCAGTGCAAGTCTCTGATCCGTATAGCAAGTGCCACTGACTTCACATTGGAGTTGAAAATCCGGACCTTATTTTTGATGCTGAGTGCTGTTGACCTCCACACAGACTTGAGAGTTGTGAAAGCTTGTCTTGCTTTTCCGATTCTTGCTTTGATATCCTCGTCAGTTCCGTTGGCCTGTAGTTGAAACGATGCTTCCCAAATATGTAGGTAAAGGAGGTTGTCTCTTTCAGGTTGCTTCCATTTATGCTGATTGTTGTCTGTTGTTGTTGTTCTTGTCCAGGAATCTTCATCACCTCTGTTTTCTCTATGTTCACCTGAAGTCCTATCTTTGATGCTTCTTATGCCAACTTGTTGCTTTTCACTTGCATATCTTCCAGTTTGTGGGAAATCAGACATATATCATCGGCGAAGTTCAGATCCTCCAGGTTTTTTGTGTGAGTCCATCTAATGCCTGTTTCCTCATTGCCCGCTGTTTGTCGCATTATCCAATCTACTGTAATCAGAAAAATCATTGGCGATAGTAGGCAGCCTTGTCTTACTCCCGTCTTCACTTCGAAGGATTCCGTAAGTTTCCCGTTGTGGATTACTTGGCATGCAGCATTGTCGTACAGCTGTTGGATGAGATGTATAATTGTCGGTGGCACCCCATAGTAGCGTAGTAGTTCCCAAAGCACCTCTCGATCGACGCTGTCGAAGGCCTTTCCACATACACGTGTCAAATCATTATCCTACATGACCGAGTAGTAATGTTAACTGCAATGAAGTGAATTGAGGTTAGTTGGCGGGAAATCACAGCAATGACTTAAATCTGCCAGACTGGTTTTAATTGTTCAACAAAAAAGAAAAGTTGACAATCAGTGAAATCTTTAGAAAATTTTTGCATAATTCATCTTAAAAGGAAAACACTAGAAGTAGTAGTAGTGGTTCAGGTGTGTACCTTCTGTTTTTCTCTTTCACCCGTCCATTTTATTTATTTTTGTCTAATCGTGTATGTTTAATGTTCACGTATTTTTAAACGGATTGTGGTTGGTTCAAGTCTAGTGCACAGTTAGTGGTGTACTAATAAGCTTCTTATCATAGTATAATAGGTTATTGATTATTGTTTTAGGTAAGTAAGTGAAGCATATTACAAATTGTATTGCTTATAATGTGTATGTGCGTGTGCGTGCGTGCGTGTGTCTTATCGCATATATTCAATCTTTAGTATTTCAGTTTATTTCTCCTGTTTTTCTGTTATCTGCGAATGTCTTATATTCTTTTTAAACTTCTCCTCTAGTCATTTTGGAGCAATCATATGAGATATGTATATATATGTAAAAGGTAAATAGAAATTAATAATGCATGCTCTTATACACACAAACACACACACAGAAAAGATTTCTTCTTTCTACGTTCATTCCTTGGCATCATATTCCCAGTGGAACATAAGGCTTCACACTTGATCTTTGAAGTTTCAGTAGCAGTGGTGTTTCTCTTTCTTGTCACTGGGTGAGATAGCCAATCTCACAATCAACCTTACTTTTAGTTGAGTTAAGTAAGTCTTAGGAGTTGGAAATTGAACCTGGAGGAATTGTGTGGTTAATGAGCAGCAGCAACCTACCAATGAACCACCACCGAATAACATACACACAAACACACACAAAGGTCTAATGCAGAGTCTACTGAACACCTTGAGCAACAATCTTCGTATGTTTGGCATGCGATTCGCCCCTGTAAAATGTAAAATGATGCTGCAGGATTGGACTACACCGACCCCTAGATTAGAAATAGGAAGTGAAGTGGTAGAGCACGTTGACCGATTCACTTACTTGGGAAGTACCATCAGCCAGTGCCAATGGGTTGATCTCCGACGAAATCTCAGCACAGATACAGAAGGCTCGTTTCGCATATGCCAGTTTACGCCGTCTCTGGAGTAGACGTGATATCCAGCTAGCTGTCAACCAAACAACCTGTGTAATGCTCAGCAGTCCGTTCCTTCCTCCTTTATAGCTGTGAGACCTGGCCATTGAGAGTGGAAGACATGACAAGATTAACTGTCTTTGATCATAGCTGCCTGCGCTCTATCTCCCGTGTGAGGTGGTATAATAAGGTGAGCAATATTGAGGTTAAGCTTCGGTCGAGTGCTAGGTGAGGAAGGGGGTGTGAAATCAGTCGACGAGATTGTGAAGTCACACCGACTGGGTTAGATGGTTAAGACATGTGTTATGCATGCATTCCTAGCCATTGCCTTCCTCGACGGGCAATCTTAGCTGAATTACATAGGATCATGTTAGAAAAGAGCTAGTGGTGGTCAAACCAAAACATGGCACCAGTCAATGAAATCTACATCAGTTTGTCTAAGCCACGTAGGAAGGTGTAGACTGGCTTCCTGGTTGGGGTCCTCGGGATGGCAAAAACCAATGGTTGGAAACACTTGGTGATATGGCTCAAAATCGTTCTCAATGAATAGCGCAGATGCATCCACTCCTTGTGACTTATAATTCCCAATGAAACTATATTGTTCTTCGTTATTACTGTTCCTTTTGTCTGATATCCCTGTCTGCTGTCTGTATTATGCATTTCTTCTAATTTCTTCTCTTGCTTTTTGTGCTACGTGGAGTGTGGCCCTATATCAGCTAACATTGCCCGTCGAGGAAGGCGATGACTAGTGCATACGTAACACATGTCTTAACCATCTTACCCAGTCGTATTTTGTGTTTCTTGGTTATCCTTTTCACGTTTCCCTTGTTTTGCCGCAACGTGGAATCATTCGCTGTCTTTAATGTCAAATCTATCGCCCTGCTATTTGATATTTTTACGTCAATGGAGGTTTTTCTCTCTCTCTCTACCTATATATATACTACTGATAAATGTTATCAGTAGCACACGCCACACTACCGGTTGATATGAGTGGTTTTCTAGTCATCATATCAATCAATCAATTAATCAATCAATCATTAGTATGTATCATTGAAATGTTTTTCTTTCATTTGACACATGCATGAGTGTGTATACCAATTATCAAATTTCGGTTACAATCATATGTCTTCTTTGCTGTTAAGTCAAGACTCACTATTCACCAAAATTATATCGAGTCATTTTGTTTTATTTATTTATTTTTTATATTTTTTACATCCACACGTATCAATCATTTTTATTGATCAACTTGTTTTTCTCCTTGTTTAATGATCTGATTATTCATTCGGAAAATCATTTGCCTTTTCTTCAATTGCATTATTTTTTGATTCAATTCAAACTTTGATTAATGGGTGGTGGTTGCGTTCTATCGCGAGTCGATTGAAGTTGGTTAACCTGAAGTGTAGAGCTGTAGATCATTACTCTAAGTGTTCGACTGCTAACCAGTGGGTTTCGAGTTTGAACCCCACTGGTGTGACAGATTAGCAACTGTAGGAAATCACAAGTGTGCTTGTTGTGTAACAACATTACATTTTTCGGATAACCTATACCCGTGGGGTTCAACACTTTGGGATAGGTTTCAGCTTTTGTCAATATGCAGACTTCCAATCTGCGATACAGTGAATGTATTCTGTCAGACAGCGGTTTTTGTGGGCTTGCAAGCTTCCATCGACTTGTGATCGCAACCATTGTATACCACAATAGTAATAATAATAATGAAAATAATAAAGCATTTTCTGTTTGACTTATTTATACACATTCGTGTTAATATTTGTGCGTGTGAATTAAAATGTGTTCTCTTAATTTGCTTTTCTTTACTTCATTATAGTCCAGTAATGATCTGTGCCAACTTGATATCTTTGGGAGTTGTATCAGTTAATCTCTTCTTGGGTAGTGTTGTGATCAAAGCTCGTCTACCGCATCATTGGGGAGTATATCTAGGCACAGCGATACTGTTCGCTTTCTACTTAGGATTCATATTCTATCTGGTAAGTTTATATATATATATATATATTTATGAATTATACAGTCACTTTCTGTTAATGTGAGTCATTTGTAAAAGTTTGATAGCTAAAACTATTATAACCGGTAATACGACGTGGTAGGCTGCGAGCTTCATGGATCCATGTTATGAGTGATTCGATAACACACAGCTCGAAATCAGTGTTGTTAGCTGCTTCACAATTCATTCTCATGTAGGTTGTAAATATAGTTCACATCCTCTTCCTCCTCTTCCCTCCGTGTCCAGTGTGTTATTGTTGTTGGCACCGTCTCTGCTGTCTTCATTCTTTTGTACTCTTTATTTTCTGTTTTCATAAACCAACGGTTTTAACTGAATCACTTTTACGTCTGTATGTTTATTTTGCGAGAAATTGTTCCCAACCACTTCTGTTTTTTTTAGTGTGTGCCTTGTTTGTTTTTCCCCAGCATGGCTGTTGCATATCGGGGTTTGATTCGTCAACTGAATTTCTTACTGTGATCATCTAGGTTGATGATTGGTTTATTTATGAAGTAAACTGATCAGGGACTGGCCTATTTAATAGACGAAGAAGTCAGTCATTAAGGTACTTAAACCTGAAGAAAAGAAACTGCCGTATGATTTCATTAAATCATTCAGCCATTGAGCTGAAATTCAGTTACCTGCGCATTCTATCTTCTGCTAATTGGTGACATACATTTAGCGCCAACACTAGCCAATGCTATTGACAAGTATTCGTTCTCTCATCCAACTTGGTAGACCCCACTAGTCAGTAGAACACCAGACATTGCATCGCTGCTTCGCATTAGATTAATTTTCAAGGGTTGGTCTGTAAGGATTTGATTAGTTTCAAGTTTGGTTATGAACCTGACATTCATGGATTCCACAGGTCACAACTTCTCTTAAGAATATTAATCTAATGATCATTTGTGACTTACCGCAGACTGGGATTTCTGTATTTCTGACGATAAATCGTAACCAGTGGGGTCCACAAGTTGGCTGCCCGGATGATAGTGGCTGCCAGTGGCTCTACAGGTATATATATATATATATCGGCGGAAGTGAAAATTCGTGGACCGTTTGGTTCCACCCTTGACCTTGTACCCTGAAGGTCCCAAAGTTTTCGATTCTCGGAATGTATGCCGATGGGGAATCCCACACCAGGACAAAACAAATGCCCAGTACTTTGGTTTTCAGTGCTTCTCTAACTGAAATCAATTTGTGATGCAACTTGATGCAACTAACCGAATCCCTGCAAATCAACACTGAATTTACTGTACTAGTTTGGTGTGATAGACATCACCTTATTGATTTGACACATATAGGTAACAAAACTGTAAAAAAAATTTTAATTTGTGAAATCTGATTTTATCTGGTTAGTCGAGTAACATAATTGTGCTTAATTTCGACAGAAAGGGTGTTTTTCAATTGTATTTTAATTTATTTATGTATAATCAATTATTTTTTCTCACCTCGTCCACTCATTACCGCATGATTTTTGATACAATTTTGTTTTCAACTTTATTGACTTTGTTTCATGTGTTCTTTCTTTATTTTTGATGGTATATGAAGACAAAGATGCTCATTGGATTATATAATTAACACTAGGTTATGCTAAACGATGTACGGTCTGTGAGAACAGAATCAACATTTGATCTGTTAAATCATGTTGACCACTGCTCTTTTTAGGGGAGTTACATCAGTCCTCATGGGTTGATTGCTGACTAAATCTCAGCACAGATACTAAGAGCTTGTTTGGCATTTGCCAAGTTATGCTGTATCTGATCCACAAAGCAGTGGAGGTTCATATGTCATTTGTTCCTTTCGGATTCTGGAGCCTATGTACACCATAGGTCTGGGATCAGAGTCTCTCAGCTCCGTGAGGTAGACCTGCGTATCTGTCAGTCTGGTCGTAACAGCCAGGCGTTGGCATTCACCCTTTCACCTTTGCGAGTAAGACCTCTAGCGTGGCATCAGTAAATAGGAACTACTTGACAGAGGCTATAAACTTGTGATCATATGAGAACGTTTCGAGAGAATGACTGACATATGTCCACCTTCGGTAGTACTAGGTCGTTTATGGAGAGATCGTACTTCTAGGGATCAATCCTATAGTATGTATTACCACCAGGACGTCAAAAAACCCTGAGACTTTCTGCAGTATGATTCAAAATCTATTTCAGTAGCACAAATGTACCTGTCCTTTGTTATTATTATCATCATCTTGTCAAGATCCCCTTTATCCACCTCTTCTGTACATCATTTCTTAACATATCAATTTAAACTGCTTACTTCGTCTAGGAAACCTTGTGTTCGGTCCTCTTACCTTCATTTTCTGAAGTTTATTGTTTTAGTGAATTAATTTGATTATTGATCCGTGGCCTATTGATACAACCCGGTTGCCTTCAGCAGAAAATTTGTGAGTATTTACGTTGACTTAGAATATGCAGATGATATAGTCCTTCTAGGTAAAGACGCTGACAAAATACAGAGTCTTCTGAACATCTTCTGCACATCTTGAAGGGCAGCAATCTTCGGATGTTTGGTATGCGATTCGCTCCCACCAAATACAAGATGAAGTTCTTTATTCGTTCTCCACCCATATTTTTTACTTTTAATCTTTGTTGTTTTATTATTATTGTGTGGCGCATCTGCTTGGTGCCATATTGTATCAAGTTTTCTGAACCGAACTACATCGACTACTCCTAGGTTAAAGATAGGGAGTGAAGTTGTTGAGCATGTTGACCGCTTCACTTATGTGAGAAGTTGCATCACCTCTAACGAGTTGATCGCTGACGAAATCTCAGCACAGATACAGAAGGCTCGTTTCGCATATACCAGTTTACGCCGTCTCTGGAGTAGACGTGAAATCCAGCTGGCTATCGACCAAAGCGCGTGTGTACTGCTCATCAGTCCGTCTCGTCCTCCTGTATGGCTGTGCGACCTGGCCATTGAGAGTGGAAGACATGAAAAAGGCTAGCTGTCTTTGATCATAGGTGCCTGCGCTCTATCACCCGTGTGAAGTGGTATAATAGGGTGAGCGATATTAATATTAGGCTTCGGTCGACTATTAGATAAGGAGCGGGGGGAAATCAATCAACTAGGCTGCGAAGCTACATCAACCGAGATGGTTAAGACATGTGTTACGCATGCACGTCTAGCCATCACCTTCCTCGACGGTCAATGTTAGCTGACATAGGGTGAGGCTGGAAAAGAACTAGTGGGTGGTCAAACAAAAACATGGCATCAATCAGTGAAATCCACAACAGTCAGTTTAAGCCACATAGGAAGCTGTAGACTTCTTGGCTCAAAATTGTTCTCAATGGCTGGTGCGGATGCACCCACTCTTTGTGATTTATAATATAAAACTATATTATTCTTCCGTATTACTATTCTTTTTGCCTCATATTTCTGTTTATTATCTCTTTTGAATCTTTCTCTACTCTCTTTTCTCTTGTATTGTCTGCTACATAGAAGGAGTGTGTCAACTCGAGCTGCTGCAAGGTTCTACGTTGAAATCAGTCAGTCAGTCAGTCATGCACGCTTACACACACCATAGTTTGTTCACCTAGGGATGGATTATAGACTGCCCCGATAACCTCATTACGCATTTAGGCAACTCAACATCACATCTGAAATAGAATTCATGCAAATACAAATTATGGCCTTTTCTAACTGTATTTGTTAGCTAAATCAGATGATAAATATATATAAGAATTAAAAATTTGTATAAATTCTGCAAAATTTATTTTCTCCTCACTCTTTTTCTATATGGCCTGATAGACACTTTTTTCAGTAATCATCATCCAAATGCCGTCAACAGTGTTCATAGTACCAAAATGTTTCATTGTCCTTTATTCTTATCAGTCATTCTAATTGTATCACAAATGCGAACTTTGTTACTTCATAGTAAAATTTTAACAGAAGTTAAAATATTGTTTGTTGAATGAGTTTTGTTTTTCCTTACATGTTAGTGTATTTTGAGTTCTCATAATATGCATTTTGGGTGTCGGTGGCACAGAGGTAGAATGGTCGCCAACCACGCCGCATATGGTACGGGATTCGATCCCTGGCCATGGACGCACTCCCTTACCTTGCTAAGCCAGTAATAAGATTGGTAAAGAGGAAAGGTTGGGCATGAGGCTAGCAACCTTATCCCGTTAAAATAAATACCATTGCTACTGAAACTTGAAGCATCTAGTTTGAGGCCCTATGTTCCACTGGGAACATAAAGGAATAAAATAAATAACAATAATAATAATATGCATTTTATTTGAGTCATTGGCATATTCAACGGCACATGGATAATCTTGACTAGATTACTATTGTAATTATCATTTGTCCTTTGCTTTCCTAGTAAAACATACGACCCTATCAGCCCTCCGTTTTACTGCCATCACTTTCACCTGACTCCATAACTGCTCACAAATTTTTCATTTCTACTTCACCTGATCTCTTCTGCATATCATCCCTTTGATCTTATATCTTAGTCGTCGCTTCATATTCAGGTTGCACTCGATGGTTTCACTGTCGTGTCTTTTGCTAATTGAGTGCCTCCTCAGCATATGTCCAATCCATCTCCTTCTGCTTATTTTTTGACTGTTTCGCAGCTGAAATTCCTTGGTGCTTGCTCATCCTATGCTTACTTCTAGACTAATCTAACCCATTCATCTCACGTAGCTGACAAGCATTTCATCATTAAACTATCAACTCGTAAAATGTTGTCTTATAGGCCTAATGGATCACTTTGAAAGTGGCAGTTGTATTTTCTTACCGTGAATGTTTTGACAAATGATACTGAATGGCTAATGTGATATTCACTAGGGAATACGATAAATCTGCATAGAAATTTCGAATGACACGCCTGTTTCTTGATCCATCCTAACATATGAGTGTTAGTGTGCAGGGATTTGATTGGTTACAGGATTTCATCATGAGTTGACATCAGTTGGAGAACCATTGTAAAACCTACAGAGAGTACTGTACTGGGCAGCTGTTTCATCCTCCTTTTGGACTCTTCAACGGTACGCATCCACTGAAGTTCGGATGCAGGACCTTCTGGTTATAAGGCGAGATCGTAGACCATGAGAGCCACTGGGACCCAACCCGACCCGATCCAATGGCTAGTCTATGAATTCCAACTTCTGCCAATTCATGATATGGCGCGACTGGCACTAGCGAATGTCATCAATGGCGAGTATTTGTCCTCACACCCAATCTGCTGCATTTACTATTACTATTATTATTATTTTTATTATTTCCTTGAAATTTTTTGTAGATTTGGTTTGGAATCCGTCATGTATATCAGTCAAGAAAGGTAGGTGTTTTATTTTGTTGTTTGTTTTAATGCAATGTTTGTATTCACTGTAATAATAATAATAATACCAGCTTTATTCTGGACAGTATTTATATAATGCACATAATTTTCAACCGAGTTTATTCCATGGTATTTTCTCTTCGTACAAGATTTTCAGATACAATATTAATTGGTTACAGGATTTCATTATAAGCTGACATCGGTTAGAGAACCATTGGAAAACCTGTTTCGTCAGTCTAGTTTGGAACTCTTGATCAGTACGCACCCACATTGCGGCATTCGAATCCAGGACCTTCCGGTAACACGGTGATCTTGTAGACAGTAGATCTTATGAAACAATGTTGTCTTAAATAAATCGCGAAGGTGTAGACTTCTTGGTTGGGGTCCTCGGGTCGGTAAACATTAATGGCTAAAGACAATTGGTAATTTGCTCAAAATCCTCGTTCTCAATGGCTGGTGCAGATGGCTCCACACCTTGTGACTTATAATACCTGATAAAACTGTATCGTTCTTCGATATTACTTTTATTTTTCTGTCTCGTATCCTTATCTACTGTCTCTATTTTGCATTTCTTTTACTTTCTTCTCTTGCTTTTTTGTGCTACATGAAGTGTGGCGACTCAAACTGCTGCACATCGGTGCAAATTTCTATTTTGCGAGCAGTCAGTCAGTCTAAACTAGAAAGTACAAGAGAACTAAGCGAAGAGTCTTTTAGCGGCCTGCTTAAAACTTAGGCTACCAAAAACTTCCATCTGTCTATTGCATATATTTTCTCTCGTTCGGTTGGTTTTTTATCGATTAAGCTATGATCTCTAATGGTATTATCTACTCTTGTGTGTATTTAAAATGTTCACAAGCTTCTGATTCGCAAGTTCCCACTAAACTTGAGAAATACCCTGATTGTGGGTGGTAATGTGTTCTAATACATGAGATAAACTGTTCTTCAGTTAAGTCCTTGGGTCTCAAGGCGTAAATCTGAACATCTTACAATTGACTTGCAACTAGATCGATGTCATGGATTTCTTGAAGAGGGCAAAGCAGATATATCATCATAATGGAATGGTTTGTGCTTCAGCTCAGAGACCATTGTGTCACAGGATATACTACTGTCAATCAGTATTTTACTTGAAGATATTGTAATAAACTCCTCAGAAAATTCTGTCCATTATATAAATACTGTTCAAAATAAAGATTTCATTATTATTATTATTAGATGAGTCACAATGTTGACCAGGTGGAGGGTTAAGTACGCATCTATACTTCAGTTTTGCACTCTAGTGACTTACCATGTAAATATTCTGAATTGAGATTGTAGTTCATTAGGTTGGTATTGTGCCTGATTGTGCCAATCAGTGAATCATTGGTTCAACCCCTCCCCCTCCGGTCCATCCTCTTGAATTCGATTCAAGAATTCAGATGATTTCTACGGTAACTTAGTTTAATAAAAAGAAAAAGTATATATCTAACTATATTTAGGTGTGTTGAATACATTTTTAAGAAGAGAAAAATTATGCTTAACTTTCCCCTTTTCTTTGTTGAAGGAATGATCACTAAATCTGTTATGTGTTTACACACCAAAAAAGTACTATAAAGACTAGTTCGATTCTACTTTATTGTCTCTATATATATACGTGACTTTTTCCCTGTGCGTATTCGCATTCATTAACCGATTATGCTGGTCATAGTGAAAGAGACATTTATAAGTAATGTGTGTATGATAAAGTTTTAAGTAATAGAAAATAAAGAGAGAGAGTGGAAACCGCCAATCAGTATTGATTGGCTTTAGTACAATATAACTGTTGCCTTGATAAATGTGTATAACTTGAACACTGTATTATTATTATTGTTCCCTTGGGTTCCTAGTGGAACATAGGGCTTCAACTGCACATCTCCACTTGCTTCTGTCTTCTGCTGTACTTTTCACCTGCGTCCATGTTAGTCCATACTGTCTCAGCTCCTCTTCACACGATCTCCTCCATGTCACTCTTGACCGTCCCACTCGCCGCTTCCCTTTCGGGTTCCACTCGAGCATTGGCCTGACGCGCGATGTCACCCAGCGGCCTCCTCAGCCAGTGAGTGTCTAATCCATCTCCACTTTCTCCTGCATATTTGTTGGGCAATTGGTTCTTGTTTTGTTTCTTCCCATAGTTTCTTGTTGGTTCTTGTTCTTTCCGGCCATCTGATCTTGAGTATAGAACGAAGACAGTTGTTGATAAAGGTCTGCAACAGGCTGTTGGAAATATTCTTTGTGACCCGCCAAGTTTCTGATCCGTATAGAAGAACTGACTTGACGTTTGTATTGAAAATCCGGATTTTGTTGTTGATGCTGAGTGACGGCGGAAGATTTCCAGATTGGTTTCAGGTTGATGAATGTGTTTCTCGCCTTTCCGATTCTCGATTTGACATCCTCGTCCGTTCCTTCTGTAGTCGAGACAATGCTCCCTAGATAAGTGAATGAAGTAACCTCGTTCAAATCTCTCCCGTTGATGGTGATTGGCGGTGGATGTTGCTGCTGTTGTTGTTGTTGTTGGTTGGTTATTTTCATAACCTCCATCTTGTCTTTGTTCACCTGGAGTCCTTTCTTCACCGGCTGCTTCTTCAACCAGTTTCTCAACACTCCTATTCCATATCTTCTCATTTCTGCGGCTACCTGGGCTGCCTTTCCAGCTTCGTACATTGTACGAACATTCCACGTCCCCATCCTTATTTTTGCTTTCATAGAAAGGAGGCACTGAACACTGTGGTTACCTGTAATCTTACATCATCATCACTTTGTTTATTGGACATATCAGTGGATCCATTGAGAAACATTACAATCGATTTAATCGAATACTATATCTATCTATGTATAGGTCATGAAATCGATTCACTGTCGAGTCTTCCTCTGTTTAAATATAGTATGTCACTTAGTTCTGAAGTGCTTACTTTCATTGTACTTGTCATCTTGGATCAAGTGTTAATCTGTTAGACTGTTGTAGGACTTGGAATTGTAAAGGGGGTGAGGTGGGGCACATTAGCATCTTCAGTAATTCAGGTATGATTATCTATTATTATTCCTTTGGTCTCGGCGGGTTACAAAGAATATTTCCAACAGATTACAGACCTTTATCAACAACTGTCTTCGCTCTATACTGAAGATCAGATGGCCGGAAAGAATCACCAACAAGAAACTATGGGAACAAACAAAACAAGAACCAATCGCCCAACAAATATGCAGGAGAAAGTGGAGATGGATTGGACACTCGCTGAGGAGGCCACTGGGTGACATCGCGCGTCAGACCAGTGCTCGAGTGGAACCCGAAAGGGAAGCGGCGAGTGGGACGTCCAAGAGTGACATGGAGGAGATCGTGTGAAGAGGAGTTGAAACAGTATGGATTAACATGGACGCAGATGAAAAGTACAGCAGAAGACAGAAACAAGTGGAGATGTGCAGTTGAAGCTCTATGTTCCTTTAGAAACTCAAGGGAACAATAATACAATAATAATAATTCCTTTCGTCTCCGAGTGAGGCATATGGCTTCAGCAGGATATCTATATTTCACAGTGGTTTTTTTATAGCTGATTCCATGACTGCCAATTATTATCTGTCATTTCCTCTGCACAAGATCTTCTTGTCACCTTCGGACACATACTTATCTCGTCGCTTCCCGATTGAAGATTTGCCTGTCGCGTATGATATCACCAAATGGCCTTCTCCAGTGTATATCCAATCTATCTGCATTTCCTTATACACATACAGAGTTCCTTGTTGCTAATTGTTTCTAGTCTGTTATCTGATCTTCAGTATACAACCAGTGAACATAGGTGTTGATGAAAGTTTGCGGCCTGTTGGGAAGGTATTTTGTGACTCGTGCGCCAAGTCTCTGAACCCTATGAAAGCCAGTGTGTTGACATTAATGTTGAAAACTCGAACCTTGTTCTTTATGCTGAGTTTAGTGGATTTCTACACTGATGATTTTGGGATTAATGAAGGTCTACTCGGCTTTCCATATTTTGACTGGCTTTGATATTCTCTTAGCTTTTTGCCGCGCCACCGGTAGGATAAGATGACTCTGTCCAGATTATATTCATTGAGAGAGAGAGAGAGACAGGCGACCTCCTGATTACTGATAATAAGTTTTTCAATAATATTGTTTTTTTCATTTTCAATTTCTCTTTAACAGCTTTTTTTATATCTTTTTCTTGTTTTTGTTCTGTTTTTGTAGCGTCCTATGACTGTTCCAGCGTTAGGTTCCCATGACAATTTGGATAGTGATGGATCTATATATAGTACATCTTTTGAGAAGAGTATTTATAAAAAGAAAGCGATCCAATCATAGAAGTTGTCTTTCACTCTCCTACTTTCTTGCTTCCGTTTTTTCTTTTCCTTTCTTTTTTTAAGAAAATGTACTCAGAATGTGTAAAAAGAATCAGTTAGAAGAAGAAGACAAAGAAAAATAGACCTCTTTTTTATAGAAAATCAAAGCCTTAGTAGAGACTAACTGTGTTCAGTCTTGATTTGTATTGTTCCCTTCACTTTTCTGTTTTTCTTTATGCATATTATTTGTGTTATGGAAAATGTGTTTTTCTTGCTGCCTTACTTACATATATGAGATTGGTTTGTATTAAATATAGATAATTGTTGCACTTTTTGCACTAATATGATTATTATTATTGTTAGTCTAGGGAAAAATACTCCTGAGAACTTCCAGGTAGATAGCGTTATTTATTTATTTATTTTCTTATTTTTTTCTTTTTTTATCTTGTGATTTACTTATTTTTTGCTCTGTTTTTCTAGTACGCGCACAACCCCGACCCCCTTTTTGTTATATTTGTAGTGTGTTTGTTTGTATGCGTGTATGTCTCAATTTATATTCTTTTGTTTTCACACACGCACAAACACACCTACCAATTAGTGAAGTGATAATTTGATAAGATAATACAAATATACTAAGACATGAGTGTTGATCATTGTGTTCTATCTTATCTCTGAACTTGATTGATATGGGAATCAGTTGGATAACAGGTTTGTCATGGTTGATGTCATACTTAAAAATCGCACAAATTCTAGACTAGCTAATTCATTTGAGATGAAAAATAAACTAAATGACATTCAACTAACTAGAGAATGATGAAACAATGGTTAGTTTTGATATAACCAGTCTTTATACTAACATACCGATCAATATGGCCTTAGAAGCAGTTAAAAAAGAATTAACTGCAGACCCTGAACTCACTTATAGGACGAAACTACCCATTGATGAAATTATTTTAGGAATTCAATTGTGCCTCACATCTACTATCTTTAAATTCCAAGGCAAAATATATAGACAAACTGAAGGTGTAGCAATGGGATCACCAATATCCCCTATCGTAGCAGATATATTTATGGATAGCTGGGAAAATATGGCACTTAATACGTTTAATCCTACTCCAAAAATATGGTGGAGATATGTGGATGACACTTTCACAGTGTTAAAAACAGAACATATTTCTAGCTTCTTGACACACATAAACTCACTAGTGGAGGGAATAAAATTCACATTTGAAGCCGAAAATGAGCAAGGAGAATTAGCTATGTTAGATTGTAAAATAAAACGAATAGAAGAAGGCAAACTACACACTAGTGTTTATAGAAAACCAACGCATTCGGCTAATAGATATTTAGACTTTAATTCATCTCATCTTTTAACTGTTAAGGCAGGCTTAGTTAAGTGTTTAACAAACCGAGCAATGGCACTAAGTAGCACAAAAAAGACCTAAATGATGAAATAAAACAGATAGAAGAGGCGTTGGTGTTAAATAACTATCCTTTAAAATTCATTAGGAAGATTGAAAAAGGCCAAAATAAAAATAAAAATAATTGTGAAACTAGTAATAATAACATAAATAAGAGAGAATATAAGTCATCTACAGTTATACCATATAAAGAGGGGACATCTGAGACCCTACGTAGGATTCTAAATAAAGCAGGAATTAGGGTGGCATTTAAACCTACAAACTCACTCAGGGACAAGCTCTGTAGGTTAAAGGACCCAGTTGACCCAATTAGACAAAATAATATAATTTACAAAATACCCTGCAATGACTGTGAGGTCAACTACATAGGTCAGACTAGTAGGTCAGGGGTAGTCAGATTGTCAGAACATAAGAATTTAGCTAAGGGAAGAATGGTTGACCCAGAGAAGATAAGTAATTTAGAAAAAAGCTCAGCAATTGCAATGCATGCATTAGCACACAACCACACAATAGGGTGGGAGAGGGTTAAAATTCTAAAAAGTAATCTAGGTAGGTGGAGAGAGAGGTTGATTACTGAATCCTTGTTCATCGAATCTACACCCAACACATGCAATAGGAATGATTCATCACTCATACCCGAAATATGGAAAATATTACTACCAATCAAATCAAGTGAAAAACAATGGAACTATATAAATGAATTTAGGAAGTCGTGTGATTACCTTGATATGATTATGAGCAATAAATTGTGCTCGAAACGTCATCAGTAAATATTACTGTATAACACTGTGAGACTTTATCAAAATAAAATTTACCCATAATGGAATTACACTCTACCACAGTGCACAAGTTTTATTCTTATATCAATGATGTCATACTTAATTTTGTTTACATTTAATAAAAGTGCCTGGAGAGCGAAGGTGTGTGTGTGTATGGCTGAGAGTCGAGGAGATGAGATGTGTATAAACAGTAATTCTTTTTAGGCATTCTGAGAACACTTAGTCATACAAGTTACGCGTATCATACCATACGGCGGCCTGCTTGAACATAGGGCTACCAAAAATTCCACCTTACAACATTTTGCAAAATTGCTTTGGTTTGCTCTTTTAATTCTGTTTTAATTTATCAATAATGTGTCCTGATCGTATTATTTATAATCGCGCATTTTTAAAATCATTACAACCTACTGCGTTGTGTCATCCACAAAAATTGAGAAAAAAGCATCACTGTGGATGGCAGCGTGCACTGAAACGTACACAAATTAATCAAATGACTGTTCCTGAACTCGTTAGCACTAATTGTAGATCCCTGTCCAACAAAATGGATTATCTTCAATCCCTAATGTATTCTATTGTTTATCGAAACGCTGGCGTTTTAGCAATACAAGAGACTTGGCTGCACCAGCATTATGATGATAATCTAGTTTCATTAAATGGATATAAAGTTTTTCGCCAAGATAGAAAAAGTTCTAAGAAAAAATGTGGAGGAGGGGTAGCCACTTTTATAAACACAAGTTGGTCTACATCAAATCACGTTTGCTTCAATTATTCTAATGACAATATAGACTGCATAACCGTCAGGTATCGCCCAAAACACTTAAGTAAATATTCTTACATATACATAACAAATATCTACATAACACCCAATTGTAGCTTTTCAAATATAGTTACGTTTGCAGATGAATTTACTGAATTCGCTGCTCCTGCATTCGAAAACTCGCTGTCTATAGTCTGTGGTGATTTTAATTCATGTGATCACAGCTTCCTTACTTCACTTGGTCATGAGAATCTAGTCAAGTTTAATACACGTCTGGACAAATCACTAGACCTGGTTTTCATAAACGACCGTGATGTACATGAAACCCGAAGGAGAGCTCCTTTGTTAAACTCTGACCACTGCATTATTCGTATTTTACCGAAAGTGTACGACAAGTTACAACAAAAATTGTTTAGTCATTTTACAAAGAAGATACATGAACGTTCATATTCCCATGACAACATTCTAGCACTAAGAAGCATGTTGTATGATACCAACTGGGAACTATTTACTGACGATAAGTTGGATGCTACTGTCTCTAATATAACCGATTATCTGAAGTTTTGTTTGGATATTTGCTGTCCATATGAAACAGTGTTTTCGAGATTTGACAGAATCTCTTCTTTGCAGCTGAAAAAAACTTAGAAGACAAAAAGAGAAGTTGTATAAGAATAGTGATAATACTGGTGTCCGTAAAGTAAACATCCTTATAAAAATTGAAATAGAAAGATTGAACAGACTATATAATGAAAAATTTTTATCATGTAAAAATCCTTCAGACATTTGGAAACTTTTCAATAAACTTACAAGTAAAAAACAAATGTCTGTTGATGCTTATTCTGATGTTAATGCTTTAAACAAATCATTTATCATGAAACAAATTAATATGGTTGTACCTGATTTACCTAGTCAAGATAATGGTCATTTTCCGGGTTTTAAAGAAGAGGATGTACTATTATGTTTGAAATCTTTAAATCCAACACACAGCCTTGGTCCAGATGGTGTACCAGGCATTCTTCTTCAAAAGTGTGCAGACATCTTGTGTCATCCTCTTACTCAAATCTTTAATGCATCATTTAACAAGGAAACGGTACCTGCTGACTGGAAAGAAATCAAGGTTGTACCTGTACAGAAATCATCTTCTGGAGCAGGTATAAAGTTTAGACCGGTCGCTATAACATCTCCTTTTTTGAAAACTATGGAGAAACTTCTTTTGAACATTCTTAAACCTTCTTTAAAAGCTTTTAGTGACCCTAAGCAGTTTGCTTATAAGTGTGGAAGAAGTACATTAGATGCAGCCATTGTACTACACCACAATATTGTTTCCTGCCTTGATAAGGGTGCTAAGTTCGTTCGAACAGCTTTTTTAGACTATACTGCAGCTTTCGACTCTGTTTCTAGGACACTTTTATTAGGAAAGATGATTTCAGCACAGACAGAGTCCTGGGCAACTAGATAGCTGTCTTCTTATTTTAAGGATAGCAAACAGCATACTGTTTTGGCTGGAAAGCGCTCCACTTCTCAGCTAACTGAAAGTGGTGTGCCTCAAGGTGCAGTACTTTCTCCATTTCTTTTCTTCTTCCTTTTGCATGACTTTCCGAACTCACCCAAAGTTAACTTCATTAAGTATGCTGATGATATGACCGTTTCTGTCCCTGTAGTTTCCACATCGGATTGTTCCCATATGAATGGCTTCTTAGCTGAAGTTAAGGATTGGTCTGGCTCAAATGGTCTTAAACTAAATCCAACTAAATGTAATACAGTTGATTTCAGCTTGAGAAGTGAAAAAGACATGCATGGATTGATCCAATCTCATGATTGTTGTAATATTGATGGTACCATGATAGAGAGTAAGTCAAGTGTTTCTTATCTTGGCATCAGTTTCTCTTCAAACCTTTGCTGGTCGTCTCACATTCTTATAGTTTCTAAGAAAGTTTTCCGTCTGACTTATTATATAAAGAAGTTGAGGCACTCAGGTATAACCCAATCTCTTCTCATACAATTTATTAATTCATGTGTTTTGCCCATCATTCTTTATTGTTCTCCATTATTCTTCCCTGGGCTA